AAAACCAAAATGAACAGCGAGAAAGAGAGAGAGGAAGAGTGAATGTCCATTGGCGTAACTGGAACTCTTTTTCTCTGTCAAATGTTAATTTTGGTATTTTAGAAATTTTGCATTCTTGAATTTTAGAATAGTAGCCAAATTTCGAAGGGGCCAGCTCCTTTATGACCCTTGTCTAGTTACGCCAATGCGAACGAGAGAAAAGGAAAAGCAAGATTCAAAGATAAAAAGAATTTGCGTTCTCGTAGATTACAGTGATCGAGGCAAAGTCGTATTCACAGATCTCACGTTATTACTTTTTTATGTATGTAACATAAGATTATGAATGAATTATATGTTATTATTGATCATAATTCGCACAACGCTATTATGTATATGGTTTTTTTACTAACCGAACTTTGTTTAACCAATTGAAAGGATAGTTTTAATAATCATTTTTTATTTTTTTTGCAAATGTTGTTTGTCTCTGCTCATTATGAATTTGTATCTACTTCTATTTAAATCCTCTACAAATATCCAAAGTTGATAAAACAAATCAATTCAGTCCCCTGTTAATCGTGATACTTTTATCAAATTGTTAACATATCATTTGCAACATTTTTTATCAATCAGATTAATTATTCTTCAAGCATTGTTCCATGAATATTTGAATGTTTCAGAAATTTCGAAGTACTTCTACTGTCGCACTACTTATTTCAGGAATCAGAAGAATATTACAAACAATACAAAGGAGTCGTTATCTACAGTTATAAATAATGCTATATCGACTAAAAAGAATTCATTTGTTTTCTTTCCATGAACCACAACATTTCATGTAAACAGGCAAGATCACGATAACGCGAATTCAAATTCGTAAGTATAAGAAATCGTGGGACAACTCCAAAAGCTGTCAGTGACGAGCAATGCCATTCGTTCCCAAACGTTTAATTAATTATTCTTAATTAGTCAAAGGAACAGTACACTCGCGATTTAATCAGGCTTTCTTAGGGAAGAATTCTCTATATTTTAATTTAGAAAGAAAATAATATAATTCTTAATCATTATACATGATAAAATTTAGTATGTAACCGGAAAGTATGAAAAACAAAGTAAACATCAATTCAAATTTTCGCGCGCAAAAGTTGAGGTGGTCCGCCACAGCTCTATATATATAGGGCCCCCTTCAACGCATCGTCATTCTCTCCGGGGATGCCTACGGAGGAGGGTGGGAGCCCGGGACGTCACCATCCTCCCTGGAGAAGCCTCTTTTGATCGTGAGTGTATAATTTTGTTCTATTCCATGACTAATTCAACCGGATCACTCGTTAAATTTTTTTCCACTATATTATAAGTTTTAAAAATGAAACAATTGCAATCTTGTTATTTGCTTGTCTCTTTTATCAGGGCAAGAATAATTCTATCGAAAATTCTCGTCTTACCGGATACTTTTTTAATTCGCACAAAATTTGTGAGTGGTTTTTTAAATCGTATCGATTAGGGTTGCAATAATTTAGGAAAATGAATGATTATTCTTGCTCTGCCGTTAAGACGCAAGTGTAGTTGGAATTTAGTTGCTAAATCAATCGAGCGATTTAATTAATTCCCACCGTTCGGATCAATATTCTCCATCGAGATAAGGAAATAGCAATATTTTTGCTACTCGTTCGTAATACTAATCTATCATCGATGTTATTTAAAAAGTAATACAAAGGGGAAAAAAATAAATGAGAAATATGTTAAAACGACGATGCCGACGTAAGCATCCCGCAATAATGGTTGATTAAAACTAATACAATGATCTTAATCGTTAATCGTCTGATCTATATGGATCGATGCTAGTTTTTACACAAAATAACCGAAACAACAACGATGCTATTACGTTAACGGAGAATATATTAATTATTAGATTTCCTCGAATCTACGACACGAAGCTTTTTATTTTCTCCTTTTTGTTATTGTAAATCTAGTCTGGTAGGACTCGACGCGCGTTGTTCATCTTAAGTTTAAGGGTTTATGAACAATTGTGTACGTATTCCTAATGAATATCGAAATTGCGACTATATCGATATTTTGTACAGAAAATTCATTCTGTGTATTTTATTTTAACCGACAAATTGTTAAGCACAAACGATTGCATTTCTGCGTCTTGAATGAAATCACAATGCAAAATCGATATTCATTAAATGTAACATACAGAACCACCGAACCACGTACACTTGTTCGATACAACGTTATGTGTTAAATGTTTCAGCATAGATATAAAAAGAAAAAAAAATCACAAAGAATGTTTCTTATTTTCTATCGTGAGAGTGTTGTACTTATTATCAAAAGGGACGACCACACCGCAAAGGGCACCCCGTATATGGTGTCGAAAATTGTTATCCAAATGATTCTGTTCTCGTAAGAGAAGCATTGAGGTTAAAGAAAATAAGGGAGGAAGTATATTCTCCGCGTGTGCGCCTGAAATATTGAATTAGTAAGGGTAATTGATATTTTGAGATTTGTAAGCGCGCTATATACGGAAGTTGAAATAACATCCTATCCAATTTGTCTGTGAGCCGATTGCAACTAGTTGTGTAATTAAATCTATATAAATATTATATATACAATATGTGATCAAGTGGAAGGTGATGCACAATAATGGATTTACGTGAAAGCAAAGAAAAAAAAAAAGAAAGAAAGGAACGACGAAGGAAAGAAAGATATTTTGTTTTAAGTATTTTTAATCCTCCGACGGTGGGTCGCTAAATAACGATTTTTATTTTCTAAATTTTACACTGTCTCTTTATTTTATAATACTTGAAAGTCTTGTTAAAAAATTTCATCCGGGTCATAATTGACCTGACTCCACCGTCCGATGGTTAATCATAGTGAGCCTCGGTTACGAGTGAAAAGAAAAGGAACACGCTTTATTCACTATTTTTACGGTCGTCCAAAATTTGATCATCCAGCTCGAAAGGATTCAGTAGATCGAGCTGTGTGTGGCTTAATCCTTCAGGGCTGTTCACGAGGTTGCCCTGCTGGCAATGGGCAAATCGATTAGAAAACTATCTCTGCCCCAAGATTTATCTTCAGGGAAAATTGTGTATCCTAAGGGCCTAGGGCACCTCGTAGATGGCCCTAACATAGTTACACATCACTAGAAGTACTCTCGACACATAGCGTGTAACGTTAGACTAACATTTAAGATGCTGAAACATACAACCAAAAGAAACACGATTGTCATTAACTCTGCAGTAGTGATCATATAGAACTTCGAAAAAGATCATGATGATTCTTGTTAATCCAATGTGTGTTCAGTTCAATTATCACAAAATGATCGGAGACCATATAAGAAACCCGTTGAAGAACAATCAATGAATGGTCGCACGAGTACTGCAGGGTTTACGGGAAATCGAGATACTCGTTAAAAGTCAAAGTTAAGCTTTATCAGAGAGAGATTAGGTAAAAAAAAAAAAATAATTGAGGAACGTAGCGAGAAGACATTCGGAATGCTTATTAAAAATTTTATGCGCAATGATAAACGGCTCACATTTTTAGTAAAACAATGTTGTTCTCGGAGCTGTGTCTACGTTCTACGTACAATCGTGAGATCGAATTATTGGTGTCCGTAGAGGGTATATATATTTTCTTATTGTATAATTAGCTCCGCTGCTTTGACACGTTAAGGCCTTAGTACATTAAAATCAGTTACGTTGCATCGCAATTACCGGGAAACGAGGTTTACAATGATGTGTATAATGTGCAATCACGTGCAACTTGGGTTTCCTTTAGTTAACAGTACAGGTGTCGTTCTAAGACGCCACGCTCAATATGGAATCGTGATAAAAGTATTGACTAGTTTAACGATCAGCGCTTCAATTTAAAAAAAATTTGTTATTTTATTTTCTCCTGGTTCTCAGAGTTATTGTTTCGAATTATCTCCCAGGCTGAAAGTATAGGGGAAACAGTTTCTAGGTTAAGTCCTCTTTAGACTCCCCAAGGCAAACGATGGGAGGTTTTATTCTTATCCAAAGGGAGCCTACGTTGCACTCGTGGGTACAACTTGGTACAGTGATCGATGGAAAAGAAATAATTCAACCGCGAATTGTTCCGAGATGTGTCAATATATAATTGTGAAGAATCGGAGATACGTTCCTCGTTTGAATTTTAATTCGAACTGATTTAAGGGAACTAGAGCCTTAAGCTAGTTGTAAAATTTTCCTTAGGTACCTATTGTTTTAATGTATGAATTGTCTATGTCTGAATGTTCGCATCGTTGAACATACCGGAAGCTACAACAAAACAAAGTGAAAGAAACAAATAATGTTTTCTGAGAAATACGGTGAAAATTCCCGTACTTTTTGACAAAAAAAAAAAAAAATTAAGGAAAAGGCAAAACATAAAAAGGAAACAAGTACGCAACGATGCGGCGTGCTTCTGTTAATATATCTCATGAATTTATTAAAAATCACAAAATGTCTTTCTAGCTAGTATAGTAACGGTAATTAAGAACTTGCTGATTCCACGTTCTCATGGCTCATGGCGACACAATAAAAAGAATAACAATGAACACTACACTATTACAAAATATTTATTATAAATAAGATATAACAAATATAAAGGATAAATATATTATATTGAATTAATAATGATTGAACGAGATGAAATTTTTTGGTACAATAAAATGAAAAGATTAACGTTGTTGAGATTATTATCTCCTATCGCTTCGCGTCTTATAATCTTTTTTATTAATTTTGCATTTGTTTTAACGTAGTGATTACATTTTTAATTTTTCTATTGTGGTGCCATCTATTCAAGAACGGCTCAAACTACTCTACATCTTACCGACTGAGATTTCGAAAGGGTTAAACTGGTAGCGCCACCTACTAAAAAGTATTGAAAACTATTTATCATCTTATCGATCAAGCTTCTTGTAGTCGGTAAATACTGAACATAGCTAGCGCTAGTTATTTACCGACCGTCGGAAAGTCGATCGATATGTTGGTAAATTGTTTTTGCCGCCGAGTCTCGAACCAACGCGACTCCAGTGCTCCAGTCGTGCCAGAACCACCAAGGTGTACGGACGTTTGTCGTCTTGCGTCGCGTTCCAAAGTGTCGTGTATGCATACGCGCGATTAGTGATACTTCGTGACCATACCAAGTCACGCGTTTTCAATATTATTACAACTTCGTGAATATTTATCGCGATTCGATCAAGTAAGCGTTCAAATTCTGTGTATAAAAAGATCGCGGTATCTGTGACACGTATGTACGCGAACAACTGACGAGGCTATCGCCAACATTTTCGTATTTTTTCGTGCATCAAAGAAGAAGTATCGTCAACGCATTGAAATATTTCGAGCAAGTGTTCCGGCATTCTTAAACCGGTGCGATACCGCCTCGGAAACGATTTCAATCGGCGACGTGAAGTGCACTGGAAGTGTTGGGGAACGGTACAGGCGGCGAGGACGTGAGTAAACACGTTTCTTTTTTTTTTTTTTCATTTCTTCACTAATGTCGATGGTACAAAGTACATACGACTTTTCTCATATTTTTCCCTTCGCTCATTTATCGTTTTATTTCTCTTTTATTATCCTACTAAACTTTCTGCGTCTTTAATACAAATCTTATTTTTAATATAAAATGTTTGATCGTTTCTTTGCATCCTGATAGGTTAGTTTTTGTACGATGGGATCGTGTAAAAACGCGGTTTCCGATGATCGTGCGTGAGACGCGTATCAATTACTTCAATAGATCTGTCAATGTAACACGAAAGAAACATTTATCTTTTTATCTTAGAAGAATGCGTGCAGCTGTCTAAATTCTGTTTCCGTACTTTTATTAGGCATCAGCTGACTGCATTACCACGAGCTTTTTTAACGAATCCGTTTGACGTTAGCCGTTAGCCATCGCAAAGTTAATTTCCTTCACGTTCGAATCTCTAGAGCCAACGCGTTATTATTCCGCGCGAGTAGGTCGATTAATAGAATCGTCAGATTTAAACGGTCGCTCGCATAAACGATTCCATTTAACCGATTTCAATCGGCACGTTTTATTTCTCTTTCCGTTCGCTGCGTTTCCGTTGCACTAATTGCAAACGGTGGAAACCGGAACGCGTGAAATGAAGTTCGTTTCTTCCGTTTCCAGACGACAATGAATATCGCTGCTATTACCGGACCGTTTTTCGCTCGGTTGACACAATTAAAGACGATAACAATTGCACACGTGAAACGTGCACGATATTTGCATGACGTTTACTGCAAAAACGCTCACGTAACTTCGTGCGTAAGGCCAGTGACTTTACGTATATGCGATTTATATATCATTTCAGGTGAATTATTAGGGAAGAGGAGCGTGCATAAGTGCGTGCATTGTTACGTCAAGCGGTCCGTACGAACCGTTTCTATTATTAGTTTTATATTTCGTTGCAAAACGGACATATCGCGTTATATGGATCGTGTGCAGCGACGCACGCCCGACAAATCCCGCAAAGGTTAATGACATCGCGCGGGTGGTAAATCGCTTCCTCCTTTTCGACTTCGATTCCGCTGATCCGATATCGATATTGGATAATATGAATGCAATTTCACGTCGGTACCTGACAACCGAGACGAATCATATTATTCTTTCCAATTCGCCATATGAAACACGGGACGACACATATTTGATTAACCACCTGTCGGTGGAAATTAATGCGAGAATGTGAAATAAAAATTGTAGATAAGTAAAAAATATAATATAAATGAATGGAAAAATTTTAAAACATTAAAACGAAATCGAGGACCTTAGCAGGCTTTAATGAAGCTTTCTATTTTTTACTCTTCAGGGTGATAGCCTCTTTTAAGGCAAGTCCAATGACCTTTAAACCAAGGTCACTGAAGATTATAAGCAGGCCATGAAAGTACCTTGAAAATATACCCTACTTACTTCCTATAATACTTTAATTTCAAATTTTATTTAGATACTTTAATTACTCCAAAAAAAAATCGAGAGTAGTAATTTTTGAATAATCGAACGATTTAAAACGCTACTCGGATATTTGTCAGTTCGATAATACCAACTCGAACGATTTCGAATTTCGATTATTTGAACAGTTCTATTTTTGCTACCATTTTATTACGTATTTCCTGTACGATTTAGTACATATACCAGGTCGTTGTACTTTACAAAGAGCGTGCTACCAAAAATATAATCCTTCCTTGATAAATATCAGGTTGACCTTGGAATGTCCTTGGAATCACCTCTCCAATTCCTGATATTTTTTTTTTAAATTAAGTATCCTACTTTTATTTGCATAATATCCAATTTTTTGAAAACTGAAAATATTTATTTTTCCTGTGCTATCAATATAGAGGGTGTTGTATATGTTCTCTGAATTAATTTTTCGAGTATACTGAATACCCTTCTTGAAACGTGAGATCTAACCAGGAAAAAAAGATATTGTGTACGGGAAAACCTTGGAAAAACGAAACATAATAAGCAGGTAACGTTAAACCAATGCTATTTCGTAACGTATGAAAATTAAGCCGGTCGTTTCTTGAAATTGGATCCGGTCTTTTTGTTATTGTGCATCCGGTAAATTAAAGCATACGATTCGTTTGCATATCTAGATTGTTGAAAAGGGTGGAGATGTTTAGGATGCACCTTGGAATCCGGTTAAATGCATTAATATTGTAAGACGCATAGGGTGCGTCATTGGTTATCCAAAATATATGAATGTAGGATTATATTATTATTTTCTATATCTTTACGTAAAAGATATTAGAAAATATTCGTAAATATCATGTGGCAATTGTTAATGGTAAGGCACGGAGGAAAGTGATGGTACCTAAAGACATATTACGGGATTATAAATGGCTAGTAGCTAAGCTCGAGGTTTTAACGGAGTACGCTGATGCATTGGTACGGTTTCATTTAGATCGTATTGCTAGTCAATTGACAATTTATTGTTCGATGACTGGGACATCCGATGGGAGAATAAAAGAAACATCTGCGCGTCCCCTTTTTTCTTCTCTACGCGTTATATCCCAGTAGTATTTCCTTTCCTTATTGTACAGAATTAAAATTGATATATCAATTTCAAATAAAAATAAAAATAAAAGGCACTCCTAATAGTACATTCCCTGAGTAATTTCTATTTTGATATAAAAATAAATGTCAAATTATCCATTAGGAAACTTTGAAACGTGAAATTAAAATTTAGTAGTACATACTTCCATTTTTTAAAATTATTTACATATGAAATTATTTGTGTTGTAATGCTGATTGTTTGAAATGAAAATTAAAAACATGTTTATTTTCATGACTCACTGTTTGTCCCTGCTACTCTCGCGGGTTTTTCTGTGAATGAATACCAGAAATAGAATGTCGCGGTTATGAATGAAGCAGCGCGTTTGGCTACATACAAGGAAGCTGAATATAGCCACTTTAACGGAGAAAGTAGTTTACTTGGAACTTTGCGGACGAAACTGGAATTAATTTTCGATTGAAAAATGTATAGACACCTGATATAGAAAAATCAGTGTTTCAAAGGTCGTGTGTTTTCCTTATAAGACTTTCGAGTAGTGGTACAACAACTAGTTACGATAGAGAATGATTTAATTACTCGATGATGCTTCAGCTGCAATTTGCCGGATGAAGCTGGTACGGTACAATAAACGCTAAATGGTCGTTTTCATTAAATCTGAACGCGTCTCAATAATAGAAATTAAATTTACTATCTGATGAAAAATTAAAAAAGAAAATAGGATAAAACCATCGAATGTCCCTGGTTTTCGCCCTTCCCTATGGGCATCCCCGAGGAGAATGGCAATGGAGGGGAGAGGACCCCGTATATATAGGCTAATGGCGGACCACCACTAGCGTATAACCGCTTACGCGGGAAAATTTGAATTGATATTTCTCAGTTATATAGTAAAATTTATAATATATTATAATTAAAAATTATATTATTTTATTTTTAAATTACTTTTAATATTAATATCGTCAAAATTAAGATTTTTTAAATTCCTTATAAAAATCTGATTCTCTTAGAACAATAATGAAAATTATTAGATTTATCAAAAACTATTGCTTTGGTATTTAGACCGTCGAAATGAATTTCTCTGAAAATCATTAGACTAATGGTTCGTTAATTACCGCGCTTGTTTGGCGATCATTTAACCAGCCGTAGAACGAACGCTAAACGGTGGGAAATTCAGCGCGATTAATCACGTTTCCCAATCAACCGAATGCAACAAATTAATCGTGCTCGAGTAGGTTGGAATTATAACTGACAACCGCAACAGCTATTACTTACAACCGAGCAATTTTAACTTTGATTTTCCTCTCCTCCGAGATGGACCGTCGCGATGTTCCTTGCAAAATGGGTCAACTAAAACTCAATTTCACCATGGAAATTGCCATCTTTTTACCTGTCCAGCCGTGTCTATCCTGAAAACGATACGAGGGAAATTGGTTCCCGTCGAGTTTCCTATTTCTGCAGACTTGTCAGAGCTGTCCCGATGTCGAAAAAGTTCAAAAAATTGCGTTCATTCTTGTCGTTCGAACTTCTAAACGACTATATACGATTAGCCGAGCATCTACGAACGTTCGTAGTGCATTGTAAGCGAATTTCCTGTGCACTTGCATACACTGATAGCAATAAAAGCGTTAGCTGCGACACGAGGAAAATTGCGAGATAACTGATTAAATCCTTCGTTCAGTCACAAATTCAGTTTCATTGACAATGAAATGAAATCAAATTCATCCTTCTTTGAAGTCCTCTTCCAAAGAAAGCCATCCCCTTTAGAGGAATCAAGCAATCCCTATTTGTTCTCGCGAGAACAGTAGTAACGATCTCGTTTCTGCCCCGTAGGTGTAGCCATGAATAATTCACTCGGTTGAAAGGCTGAATTCTCCCCGACTTCGAGGTTGCCTGAGAGCCGAAAAACAACAGCTTCAAGATGGGCGAGATCCTTGGCTCGGCGAGCTTCCTTCACCTCGGTGATATCGTCAGCCTCTACGCCGAAGGAAGCGTATCGGGATTTCTTTCCACCCTCGGGTAAGTTGAATATTCATTAAATCGTTCTGACTAATTAGCATGATTCCATAGCGTTCAAGCTGACGCCACGATGACTCGATTGAGACGAAACTCGCTCGAAATCGCCTGGAAAATTATTATACTACCTTAGAAATTTAGTTAAAATTAATAATGTTGATATACCCCTTTATTCCTGATCCTTCACACTACTTTTATTCTAAATATATTACCTCCGCTTATTGATTTTCGATAAAATATTTATCCATTTATTTGTAAATTTAAAATTAACTAATGGACGTTAAACGGGAAATTTAATAAAATGTGATCGCGAAGAATCGAGACTGACATTATATTCAGCGGTGAGTCATTCGAAGAATAAATTTATGTATATCCTAAACAACAATGTTACAAACAAGTATGAATAATTTTGTTGGTAGAGAATAATCATCTTTAAGAATAATTTATTCCTTCATTTTAGAAGTTTCAAAACCTGAATCTTTCTTCATTAAAATAGTATGGGAAGATTAATATCGAGGTAATTAAAATGTCGAGCTGAGGGTAAATAGAGGATCCTGTCTACCTGTGGAGGACAGCAAAGGGTTAAAAGGCACTTAATTCTCCGAAATAAGGTCAAAGCAGACTGTGCGACTACGTGGTCCAATTTACTGCAGTTCGTGTATTTTTGAATGAACCGTGCGTCTCGAAAGGCCGTAGGTCATGAAATATAATGTTTGAATGAATTGTGAATAAAGTAGGCCAAAGAACTGTACTCCCAGGTAATACGGTAGGAAATCTTAGAAGTGTGATTGAAACGTATTCTCCTTTTTATTTCATGATTTACGGAAGAAGGAAAAATGTAAAATAATTTAATTCAAAATCTTTGTTTTAATATCAGAATCATTCAGATGTCATTTAAATAAGAGATGCAAATATTTTCCAATAAGAATCGAATATCTCTAACCATCTGCAGATTAAATGTCTTCAACCGAACCTGAGATCTCGGATCATTTAATAACATTTTTCCTTATCTCCTTTAGAATTCAATTTCAAGGGAATCGAGGATCGTTTTGCTGCTCCTCTCGAACATTTGTCAGGACTTTTTCCATTTTACCCTCGATAATCCATTTCCCGGGTCATATAACATTCAGGTTTATCAGAAAAAGGGACTAGCTAAAATAATGTTAGCATATTCGGCGTTCTCTATACATCGCTCTCGAAACGATTAGATATTCAAATCAAACATTGATATCGTTTCCTTGGGAATTCTTCAATACGTCCCTGCTTCAACAAGTACTCTTGGCTACGAGTACTTCGGCACGTTGAATTTTATATCAAACCTATGAATGATTTCCTCGGAAGTGGAAAAGCCATTTTCATGCTCCGTTGGAATCGTTTATGCAAAGAATACATCAGGATTCTTCGATATATGCTTCTCGAGAAATGGTAGATCTTTCCTTTTTCTCCTTTGGATTTTTCTATTGGATTTCTTTAATCTTTTAATTTGGCACGGCGAGTTAAATTAAAATTGGGCCTCTCTTCATAGTCCGCCATCGGAGGATTAACTTATCATGGAATTTCAAAGACGATCCACTTGAATTTTGGGGGTTTTTTGAAAATTTCTCCCCTCTTCTACCCTATACAAATTTTTCCCAACTCCCTTTCGATAACACCTGTTAAAATTCCGCATGTAAAGGGTAAAGGGGCCCCCGATCTTTCTCCCAGGAAAAGAAAATAAAATAAAAGAACGATCCACGTGAATTTAAACTCGATAAATAATATTTTCTTATTTATTTTCATTGTATCATAAATATGGCAATATTTTAACCAATTAAGAATTGTCTGGTAGAGAATCAATATCCGATTGTTTGTATCGTTTCGAAAGGTGTTTGCGGTTCTCGAAGAAAAGCATCGGGGTATTAATCGGCTTAGGAGGAAATCCCAAGCTGCCCATGTGAGCCGCTTCCGACGAATAAATTTTCTCCCCTTCGCTCTAACGTGTCGCACTTGCTATTCTTTGCCCGCTTGTATTATCCGCGCCCTGTTGACTTCGGCCAACACAAAGATAGGACGTCGATACGGCCAGGTAATAAGGCGATCCTCTTTGTAATCAAGCTCGTCTATCGTGTGCTCAAAGGGTATCTGCTATTGACGTTAATGTGTGTATCTTTGAAGCCATTATCGGGGAAAAGCATCGCCAAGCGAAAAAAGAGCAATCGGTAAAAAGTAACGTACTTTCTATGATTCTGGCTGGTTGTAACTTTTCATGAGGACAATAATTCTTTTTTTTAGATATTATTGAATTAATCTTCAGGGATCCATGATTTTCCTTGTTGAGAGAAAGCGGTGAAATCGAAGGTGGAATAAAAATCAGAGAGGAAAGAAATTTATCCTCGAGCAGGAAAAACAGATTGCAGTTAGACTTTTGAGAAATTGCGTATCCTTTTGCAACACGGAAGTGTTGTATTTTTAAGTGGAATTTGGTAAACAGAATAATTTGAAATTTTCACTTATTATCCAAATTATTCAAATTCCACTCGTATTAGAACATTCTAGCTTTCGTTACAGTTCTAATTCCTAACAAACAGACTCGTTCTTTTCACGTTCTTACTTGAAGAGGACTTAGTTTGCAAGTGATTATGGCAGGGTTCTCGACCACTTTGAAAATGGGTCAGGTAGGCACACTTCGCCTACTCTAGTGGCTTTCCACGGCTCGTGGCGGTATCTCAAATAAGATTCAATCGAATCTCACTCGGCGTTGCTTGTACACTCGCTATTATCTCTCTTTGTTGCATTTGTGGCAGATAAAGCGAAGACAAACGTATGCACGCGCACGAATTTTCACGATGTCACGTATCTTGCGGAACACGTATATTCGAACGTATCGTTCGCGTTTCACTCCGCTTCTATTCCACTCGAATTATAAGTTAGGGGAGAAATTTTCAAAAAACCCCCCAAATTCACATGGATCGTCTTTGAAGTTCCATGATGAGTTAATCCGCCGATGGCGGACCATGGAGAGAAGCCCAATTTTAATTCAACTCGCCGTGCCCAATTAAAAGGTTAATTAATATAACTTAAGAAATCAAATTTTCGAGGATAGTTCGTTGCTAATTACGAAGGAATCACATTGAGCCTTGCGGTTAGCGATTCTGGCAGCGCATAGTGGCAGGATATAATTTCAGCCGGTACCAGCTCGTCAAACTGAATCTCCGGCTCGTTGAATGGAGTATGCCTACTAATTCCTGTTCTCCGCCAGCATCCCGATTGCACAGCCACTTGTCATTCTCGATAATAGTGCACTCGATGCAGCAGCTCGATGCTGCGGCTGAGAGGGATGTAATTAATGTTTCCAACGATCGCGTTTCAAACATCGATCAGCCGAAAATTTACAATATATCAAAACTATTCTATTAATTCTTCTTATTATTATTATTTTTATCTATTTTATTCATCCAGAGAATTTCCATAACCCTTTTAACCCTTTCGGTTCACTCGCGATCAAATCTGGCTTCTTTGCTAATTCAAATTTTCGCGCGCAATTGGTCCGCTACAGGCCTATATATATGAGGCCCCTTGCGCTGCATTGTCACTTTCTCCGCGGATGCTCACGGGGAAGGGTGGTAACCCTAGATGTCACTATTTTTCCTAGGAAAACCTGATCGAGGGTATGAAATTTAATTTCTCGACACTCGAGAAATGTAATTGTTCTCAGAACAATCGGTTTCCTAGATAGCAAGATATGGAAATGCATACGCATTAGGCTGCATTGTGCATCGCGCGCTTCCTGTGCTGATCAATAAATCACCACGTTCCACGCCCTCGATAATTTTATTAATAACTTTGTCGGGGATCGTTTAATTGTTAACTCGCGCGCGTCGAAGGAACGAAATAAGAAACCCGGTTAAGATACAAATTTTTTGCTTATCCGCAAATGAAACACGGTTTATAATGCTCGCTTATCGTACGCAATCTAATCTCGCTAATTAAGCATTGACGTAAAACAGACGTGCAGCGATCGTGTGATACACTTAAAACAGCTTGAGAAGATGAGAATCGACGATCAACGCGATTATCCAACATCGGTATTGCTTTAAATTGTCCTGATCAAAATTGTTAGATGAAAACTACATGATTTATAAAAAAGAAGAAATTTATGATAACGGGATGACTGATTAGGATGAATTTTGTGTAGCGTAAATATGAGAGATAGTAGAATTAAAATTCTTTATTTAATTCTTTATTTCCATATAAATGCATCGGTGCACCGTTGCATCTCAAGGGTGTTAATATTAATCACGGCTGCAATAAATGATCTGAACGCAATCACGGCTGCATTCTACACTATACGTGCACATGACGCGGTCGCCGGCAACAATATCGGGTATCGCGTTATGGTCGTTTCTCTGTTTATGTGCCTTTCTCTGTTATACATATGTACCTTTCGCGAAAATGCATCGCGTGCATCTCTCTTGTCCGCTGACCCGACAGCTTCAATTCTTACGGTTCGATGCAGTTGTGATCAACCATTATACGAGGGATATTAAAACTGGTCTCGCAAATCGAATATCGGCTCGCTTCGATAACCGATATTTATTACTAAACAAGAAACACTATCGTTTATATTAATATTTGTTGAGCTGCAAAAAAATGAAAATTTAGTTTATTTTACAGAATTATTATTTCAATTAATTTTATTTTTAATTAAAATTCACAGAAAATAGGGTGAAAATTTGAACTTTTTTTAATAAAAAAAAATATCTGACGGTAAGCTTGCAGTATTTGAACGGGCGTGCGTTTGCATAGCGATTGAGAGGATCAGTAACAATTGATTTTATCTTATATAAGTAAATTCTTTGTTTTGGGATTATATTTGTCAAAAAAATCGCCCTAGTTCCAATATTGATTTTTAGTTTAATGCGAAAGGTGGTAGTTTTCCTAGATGGTATCTCATGGAATTTTATAAATTCTTAATCAATTCGCTATCGTTCTTAGAAAATATATCTTTCGGCAATGAGTAATGGTCAGCGGCACGTTTCCTGCGTTCTCGGTCATGCGAAAAATCGATGGAACTGCTATTTGCGAATTTATGATCTGGAAAACCATTCGTTCGCTAATTAACAGCTCGCGAAACAAGCGACAATGGCTAAAGTGAGGTGCCATTGAAAACTGTGTTTCTAAAGCCGCATATACAATGCTCATATAAGGATTGTTTCGAAACAAAAGTACCAGCTACGAGAGGGAATTATTAAAAATTTTCAAATTCCAAAAATAGAAAAAATTTTAACTCTCCCTATCTTCTAAAGCTACAACTTGGTTCAATGTTTAATCCTTTTGCTTCCATCGAAATTTCCTTGATTTCTTAACATTTCTATTTCTCTCGAAGCACAAGTAACTTGTATGACTACGTTTCGCGGTACGTATTAGCCTTCGAGGTAGTTAAAAGGAGCTTACGTTTGCGTTACGAATGAGAAGCCTAAATACAATCTCATTAGCGATCTTTGTATTCCATTAGTGACCCAACAACAAGCGACGGTGGGTACTTATGGATTGTTTGTGGCAGTGAAAAGGTGCAATTGACCGTCCTCGAACAGTTTTCCGTTTCTAATAATTATTCACAATCCTTAGAACAAATCGTGTATCTTGATTTATGAATATCTTATGAAATAATCTGCTACCGTTGACTACCACTCAGGCAAGATTTCCATGATCAATATGTAGCTTCATTTCTATCGGGGTTGTAAACCTCTTTTTACCATCGATTCTGTTCCCTCGAACCTATTGTTCGGCATCCAGGTTTTGTGTTGCAGAAAATATTGAAATACTGCTCCATTTCATACGTGGGTTCCAATTGAAAAATGAATCGTTTCAGGGTTTCCATTGTGTTTTTGATGTACTTTTTGTTTCTGAAATTTCGTGAAATAATAGATTTTTCATAGATTCTATTGTAACTTGAAAATAAGAATAATACCTAATGAAATTTTTTAGTGTGCTAGTCATTACATTAAAGGATGTGACTCCCGCGTAATGATAATGTACTTTGGCGTCACGTTGCTACTATCGGATGCACCCGGTTGCACTATGCACCGAGTATGCGCCGTATCCGAAAGGTTAAAGCTCCTGGGCAAGTCTTGGCCTGCCCCAATATCGATCTACACCTTGCTCTCCTTCCATTTGGACCACTCTTATCCAACCGCTATTTCCGGATTTACATTGTCAATTATCAATTCCTAATTGCATTTTGGAAGGTCGCGTCACGACCAGTTTTATTGCATTGAGATGAAATGACTTCGGTTCAAATCCCAGGAGTATCAAATTTTTTTTTTTTTTTTTTTTATAAAACAAGCTTACTAATATAAAAATTTAACGTTTTCCTAAATATATAATGATTTTAAAATAATATAGATTCTTTGAAATATTTTAATTGATTTTTAGATTAGTGGACGACAGGTGCGTGGTATGTCCCGAGGCAGGAGATTTATCAAATCCACCGAAGAAGTTCCGAGGTAACATTTGTACGTCTAAGATCGTAAATCTACGCTGTCAAAGACAACAGTTCTTTTCACAGGGCGTAGATCTACGATCTTCTGTAACAACGCGTTAACGTTGGTCTTTGATACAATTTTCAGATTGTCTCTTCAAAATATGTCCTATGAATCGTTATTCCGCTCAGAAGCAATTCTGGAAGGCCGCAAAACAAAACGCAGGCGGTACAGATGCTGTACTGTTAAAAAGACTGCACGTGAGTTTATTTCGATAAACAATTATCGTCATCGTCGGACTATTTTTAATTCTAGGATTGATGTTAATTTTCAGCATGCCGCTGAAATCGAGAAGAAACAGAACGAGACTGAAAATAAGAAACTGCTTGGAAGCGTGGTATCCTATGGTAACGTCGTCCAGGTGAGAGGGATTGTTTTCTTTCTCGAGTATTTTTATATATTTTTACATTGCCCTCGTTACGCGAAGTAAATCAATTTACCTTGCGCTACACGCCTCAAAAGGTCAGGCTTAGCTTTAGAACCCAAGGACGCATACCCTTTTTTTATGCATAAAGCTTGCTGGCTACGGGGAAAATAGAAAAACGCAGTAACAATTGAAGGGTTCGTAATACCCTGTCGATTTTTCCTCACTTTTACAATAAAAATATTTGTATACTTAATAATTTGCTGGTATTTTAACGTAAGAGTCTGGCCCCCTCGCCATTCTAAGATTCTAAGATTTCAAAATTCCAAGATTTTGAATTTGTGAAATGAAACTTCAATCTTTCAAACTCAATCTTTTCTTTCACATTTACATTTTCCTTGACTATGCTTGTACTATTAATCAGAGAGCAGTGGGAAACGATAACTGCTTGCTAATTAACAGAATCTACTTCCTCTGGTCGTATCATTCCTCTTTGTAGTAAAATCATAAAATCAAGTTATAAAATTTAATTACAAAGCGATAGGCTTATTCGTCTATATTCTATATTGAAGAAAATAATGTCTAAGGGAATTAAAACCCAACTCCATGGTTCACCTTATAAACTCAGTTTCATCCCAGACAATGCTTGCTGATTGCCTGCTGTTTTAAGTATAATGATCGAATTATTAATCACATTCGTGGTGCTTTTATCGTCCACAACACGGTGAACAACGTTACACTGTAAAGGGATGCTCGGTGTGCCTGTTATACAGAAGCAAAAGAACGTCTGCTTGGAACACAGGGCCTCTGAACACCATTAGACGTCTACTTAACTTGATGCAATAACGTAGTCTGGGGTCTCCGTCGGGCTATCGAGCTACTTTATTGCTTCCCACTTTGTCAGGGAATTATGGTAGACGTGAAAGTTAATGTACTACAAAGTACCTTCTTATTTTAGGACTTCCCCTCATACTGATTATTATTCTGGGATTTTCATTGAAATTTGATGCAAATTCAAATTCATATACCTTCCTACACATTTAATTCTATTGCAAGTGTAATATAACTAATGCTCCTTTCTTCAGCTGCTACACCTCAAATCCAACAAATTCCTGACTGTCAACAAAAGGTTACCAGCTCTCCTCGAGAAGAACGCAATGAGGGTGTATTTAGATGCAAACGGAAACGAGGGTTCCTGGCTCTACATAATGCCTTTCTACAAGCTCCGTAGCGACGGTGATAGCGTGGTAGTCGGTGACAAAGTAATCCTGGAGCCAGTTAATGCTGGCAGACAAGGTCTCCATGTAGCTGCCAACTATGAACTCGGTGATAATCCAGGTTGCAAAGAAGTTAATGTGGTCAATTCAGCAACATCTTGGAAGGTGACATTGTTTATGGAGCATAGGGAAAATCAGGAGGAGATTTTAAAGGGTGGAGATGTTGTTAGATTATTCCATGCAGAGCAAGAAAAGTTTCTAACAATGGACGAGTACAAGAAAAAACAGCATGTGTTTTTAAGGACCACTGGGAGAACTAGTGCCACTGCTGCTACCAGTAGTAAAGCTTTATGGGAGGTTGAAGTAAGAAGATTGTACATAAATCAGCGTTCATCCTTTGAAAATTATTTATTATTAACTTTCTTTCTTTTTCCAGGTTGTCCAGCATGATCCATGCAGAGGAGGAGCTGGCCACTGGAACTCTCTGTTTAGATTCAAACATCTAGCCACAGGGCAATATTTGGCTGCTGAAATTGACACCGACGAACCACGTGAGACCACAATAGGCAAGCGTGGTAAGATAGATATATACGTGTGTGGAGTAGCATCAACCTGTTTCCTCGGGGATCGTGTACCTCTTTACCTAACACTTGTAATCGATTCATGAATCTTCATCATATTTATAATACATTGCTATTGTATCTTATAGATCCACCAGGACCAGTGTACAGACTAGTATCAGTACCTCATAGCAATGAAATTAGTTCTTTATTCGAATTGGACCCAACTACGTTAACGAGAGGGGACAGTTTGGTACCACAGTCGTCTTTTGTTAGATTACACCATATATGTACAAATACTTGGGTCCATTCGACGAGTGTACCGATTGATAAAGATGATGAGAAGCCAGTTATGTCAAAGGTAGTTTTCAATAACCATCATGTACAGACCCTGAGTCTCTTCCAATTATATAATTTAAATTATAATCGTGTTAAAAGGTGGGCTGTGCTATCAACAAAGAAGATAAAGAAGCGTTTGCTCTGAGATCCGTATCTCCGGTAGAAGTAAGGGATTTGGATTTTGCGAATGATGCCTGCAAGGTGTTAGCCTCCATAAGTAGTAAATTAGAAAAGGGTACAATTTCGCATAACGAGAGGCGAGCTGTGATGAGTCTACTGCAGGATATAGTGTACTTCATAGCTGGTTTAGAAAATGAACAGAACAAATCTGAAGCTTTAGATTTAGTTGTCGCAAACGCCGTGAGGGACCGACAGAAATTATTGCGAGAACAGTACATACTTGGCCAGTTATTTAAAATACTTCAGGTACCGTAGAGTAATTTATATTTCCATTTTGAAATTTTTATATGTTGAAGATATCTCTCTCTTGTAGGCTCCGTTCTTAGAGTCTGCCGAGGGCGAGGGACCATTTCTTAGAATAGAGGAGTTGAATGATCCAAGACACGCGCCATATAAATATATGTTTCGTTTATGCTATCGAATACTCAGGCTTTCCCAGCAAGATTATCGGAAAAATCAGGTACTGTATATTTTTACACGTAATATTATCGACAGGTCGATATTTATTTTCTCTTTGCGATGCAGGAATACATAGCGAAACACTTTGCTTTCATGCAAAAACAAATTGGATACGATATTTTGGCGGAAGACACCATCACCGCACTTTTGCACAATAATAGAAAATTGTTAGAGAAACATATAACGGCAGCGGAAATTGAAACCTTTGTTGGTCTTGTTAGGAAGAATATGCATAACTGGGAATCGAGGTTTCTGGATTATTTGTCAGATTTGTGTATTTCTAATAAGAAGGCGATCGCAGTCACTCAAGAATTAATTTGTAAAAGTGTACTGAGTGAAAAGAATAAAGATATACTATTAGAAACTAGGTAAACAATGATATGTCTGTTAAAAAAGAGTGCCTTTTTATTTATATGTATTGATAAATGATCATTTTCTTTAGAATGGTTAAAACTCAGGTCGAGGTGGAAGAATTAGACGAGAAGCAAGAAAATGATGAACCAAGAATTACTGTGATGGAAGAATTTGAAGTTTTTCTTACATGGAATAATGGAACGGTTAGCATCAGTATCACTATAGTTTCTATGTGCATTTAAAATTTATTCTAACAGATTTTTTATTTAGAAGTCAATGTCTTTAAGTGAATTATCGAGGGGCGCAAAGCTGGGGAATGTTCAAGATGCAGCGATATTGGATTACTATAGGCATCAGTTAAATCTCTTTAGCAATATGTGTTTAAATAGACAGTATTTAGCATTGAATAATTTATCACCGCATTTGGATATTGGTCTGATACTGAAGTAAGTATAATTAATGTTAGAATCAATGCCTGTTTCCATAATATACAATGAAATTTTGTTATTAAAAATTCAGGTGTATGGAAGATGAGACAGTGCCATACGAGTTGCGAGCATCATTCTGTAGACTTATGTTACATCTCCACGTTGACAGAGACCCACAAGAACAAGTGACTCCAGTTAAATATGCTCGATTATGGTCTGAGATTCCTTCGAAAATGAGTATTAATGAGTACGTAAAAATAATACCATATATTTTGTAGAATATTGGTACAATGTATTCATTGATTTCAGTTATGATGCAAACAGAATGAGAGATCAGAATAAGGAAGGTGTTCGCGCTAAATTTAGCGCGACTATTATGTTTGTAGAAGATTATCTATGCAATGTCGTGGCAAAAATGTGGTCTTTTGCGGATCAAGAGCAGAATAAACTGACGTTTGAAGTAAGGAAGAATGTGTACAAAATACTTGTTCCACCAAAAAAATACAATTATTTAATATTTTCATATTTCCAGGTTGTGAAATTAGCGCGTGATTTAATTTATTTCGGATTCTACAGTTTTAGCGATCTCTTAAGACTAACGAAAACGTTGCTCAGTATTTTGGACTGCATTTCAGAAAATGACTCAGCTGACGGAAAGATTCCAACTGGTGAAATTGATTGTAAGTGGATTTTTAATTTATATTCGTTCAGTATAGAGTCAACACATCATTTCGCGATATTCCCTGTAGAGTATTATTATTCTCTAATTGTATGCACAAAAGAGAAGTCTCATTGTATCTTCCTTCCCTCTATTGCAGTCTCTAATGTTGTCGTATTAACTAAATAACAATTTGTATGTAGTTAATTAAATAGACATGTTAAGTATAGTATATGTTGAAGTATTAATTAATAAATGTTAACAACTTCTAAAGCTGATTCTGTGGATTCTAAGGAAGCAGGTAATATAGTAACTATGAATTAAAAATTAGGTTTTATTAATTTCATAATATATGCATGTTGCCTTGTAATCTTTGTTACACCTTGGTTTAGTATAGCACCTTCTTACACTTTGTAATTTCTATATATTTTCTATATTTAACATAAATATCTTACTAAATGTAAATACACAAGATAAAGTATGCCTACTATGTTTAATTCCTATACCTTCATTTAAAATTCATTTTTACCTACAAACACATTAAAAATTTTTACTGTTTGATACATTTTAACGTTATATAAAACTGTTTGTAATAACTTTAATAGCTGAAGGTGGAGTATTAAGATGTATTGGAGACATGGGAGCAGTGATGACAAGTTTGACATTGGGACCAGCTGGACAAGTATTAGCTGGCAATTCTTCACCAAGACCAAAGCCGCTCCTGAAGAAAGAATACCCTTTGGTGATGGATACAAAACTGAAGATAATTGAAATTTTACAATTTATACTCGATGTTCGATTAGACTATAGGATTTCTTGTTTATTGAGCATTTTTAAACAAGAATTTGATGAAACTGAAAGAGCCTCAGGTGATCTAAGTCTTGGCCAGAAAACCATAGACTTGGAATTAATAGGCACACAAGCAGAGGGTATATTTGGTAGCAGGTAATACATCATATAATCATTTATTTATATCCTTGAAATAATATTTCATAAATCACTTTATTCAGTGAAGAATGCGTGGCATTAGATTTGGATGGGCAAGGTGGTAAAACATTTTTGCGTGTTCTATTACACTTGGCAATGCACGATTATCCACCGTTAGTCTCTGGAGCACTGCATCTACTTTTTAGACATTTTAGTCAAAGACAAGAGGTTTTACAAGCTTTTAAACAAGTACGTTCTTTTTCTTCTCATATTGCCATAATTTTTGGCAGGAAAATTTATTAAGGTTTTTATGAACAGGTACAACTGTTAGTTTCTGACAGTGATGTTGAATCTTATAAACAAATAAAATCAGATTTAGATGTGTTACGGCAGTCCGTTGAAAAATCTGAGCTTTGGGTGTACAAATCTAGGGCAACAGAAGAACATGGCGGTAAAAAGAAGAAAAGTAAAGAGGAAGAAGACGATGGAGCTACACCTCGCAAAGCACCACCACAACTATCCACAACTAATAAGAAAGGTTCTGATAATGATTTTAATTGAAAATATTAATTAATCTATTTCTTTTAAATAAATTATTCTTTGTTGATTATAGGGTCTGCAATAGATTTAGACATTGGTCCTCCATTGCACGCAGACCAGGCAGAAGAATATAAAAAGATACAACAAATTTTAATTCGTATGAATAAATTATGCATACAGACGATTGGTGGTCAAATAAAACCACGAAAACACGAACAAAGACTTCTACGAAACGTCGGTGTACATACTGTTGTCTTAGATTTATTACAAGTACCATTTGACACTAAAGAAGATGTTCGAATGAACGAGTTAATGCGATTAGCACACGATTTTCTTCAGAACTTCTGCTTAGGCAATCAACAGAACCAGGTTCTGTTGCATAAACAATTGGATTTGTTTTTAAATCCCGGTATAAGGGAGGCTCAAACAGTGTGCAGTATTTTCCAAGACAATTCAACACTGTGCAATGAAGTAAATGCCAAGGTGATACAACACTTTGTGCATTGCATAGAAACTCATGGAAAACACGTGCAATATTTAAAATTCCTTCAAACTATAGTAAAAGCTGAAAATCAATTTATTAGAAAATGTCAAGAAATGGTTATGCAAGAAGTGAGTAGGGATTATATTTATATTGATGAATTTGTTTAAAGCATTTGATTAATATTATTGTTTTTGTAGTTGGTTCAAGCTGGTGAAGATGTTCTAGTATTTTATAACGATCGATCATCTTTCAATCACTTTGTGGAGATGATGCGATCTGAAAGACATAGGATGGACGAAAGTAGTCCTCTCAAGTATGTTTTACATCTTAGTAATCTAACTTATTACATATATTTTATTTTAATATACATTTTAGGTACCATGTAGAGTTGGTTAAATTATTAGCTTGTTGCACAATGGGGAAGAATGTTAATACCGAAATCAAGTGTCATAGTCTTTTACCATTAGATGATATCGTTGCTATGGTGTCACATCCAGATTGTATACCAGAAGTAAGTTCCTTGATTAGGAGTTCAGTCCTAATGACTTAATTATTTAAATGTATATGTACTTGCAGGTGAAAGAAGCATATATCAATTTTCTCAATCATTGTTACATTGATACAGAAGTTGAAATGAAAGAAATTTATACTTCAAATCATATGTGGTCCTTGTTTGAAAAATCTTTTATCGTAGACATGGGTATAATAGCAACAGCTACCCACGATCGTGAACACGCTGATATCGCTCTAGAAAATTATGTGACAGGTTGTCTAATGAATATCATTACGACGTTCTTTAGCAGCCCATTCTCAGATCAAAGTACTACAGTGCAGGTATTGTATTAGTCTTAAATCTTATTTCAAAATAAGTTCATCATTTTTATATGAATAGTTTTTCAAACAAATTTATGATGTAATTGGCGTAATTATAATTTCTATCACTGCAGAAATATGTCATAGAAATTTTTTTAAATTAATATCAATATTTATATGGTGGATATGGCACCTTTGTTTTTCAGACATATAAGCACACTAATTTACAGATGTAACTAATTAACAAAAAGGAAGAACGTTTTTTCTTCTAAGTGTATTTATGTAGTTTCAGAGCACAAATTTATTGTTTTTATATGCAATGTCACTTATATTGATAACGCTTTTTTTTTTTAATTATGTTGATTTACATTAGATTATACTTTTATTTTATCAATTATGTTTCATCAGTTTTTGTGCAATATATAGAATGAATTAATAAAGAAAATAATTTTTCTTATATTTAAAGATGTTAAAATTCAGTTAATCTGCGATGTTTGTACACAATTTAAAATTCCATATTCGTTGTTTCATTACTTAACTGAAGTACATCAAAATGGAGGTAATTTGTAGAAAAGAATATGAGATTTTTAAGTTAGTTACAATTATTACGATTTGTAGATTATAAGTATTTTTGTAAAAGTACTTATAGGAATAATAATCAAACTTTCAGATATCACAAGTACAGTAAAATAAGCAGTCATATGCTAGATATAAGTAACATAACTAACATGTACTTAATCTAACGCAGAAACCTATCCGAATATTCTATCATTTATTTGATCTGATAATTTCTTGGTTCTTGCTTTGCATGATGAACTTCATTAATTTATATTTATTTAGAAACCAAGTACATGTCACGACCGTTTGAGATCATTAGTATTTGATTAAAAAATAACATATTTTATTTTGTTCATTATTTATTATTTCAATTTATTTATTTGCCTTATCATGATAAGCCAGAGTACATAATCAATTAATACTACAGTGGTAATATATCTTTTTTGATGTGTGCTTGGTAATTGGTGATTGCATCAGCGGCATGTTCTGTGTTTTTGGCATGCAACACCTGGCCTTCTTTGACTCATCAACATTGGTTTACTGGGTCTGGGTGCTGGGTCTATATGGTGGTGGGTTGATTTACTAATAGAAACATCTTCACGAGGCTAGACTTTATTGGAGCATCAAGGAGAGTGACCGGAATACTGATAATAATCTTACTGGCTATGTGAGTACTTAAAAAAAAATGCTCTGTCTATTATGAGCACTTGTAAATAACACTTGAAATACTAATATGAAAAAATCTGACATAAAATCAGAAAATATTTGGGTTTGAAGTTTCAAATTAAAACAAGTGGTTTCTAACAATATTATTTGGTGTAGATATACGGTATATGTTATATCTTAAAATTAAAATGTTTTATTGTAAATACTTTCATTGTAAATACATGTGTTTATGTGTAATTCAATAACGCAGGTATATACAAAAAAATAATTAGGAACATAAGCACAAATGTGCTTTATTGATATTAAATTGGTTTACAGTATTCTTCTTTAAAATTCTATATCTTTATGGGAAGTTATACTAACATACTCACTGTCTTCAATGAATGAAACAAGCTATCTATTTAAACTTTCTCAAGTACTAACCATAGGAATTTAATTATAATTGGGATATCCTTTTATATCTATCTTTTTTTATTTCATGCAGCATGAGTCTGTGATTTAATATCTACAGAAAAGTTTCCTTATACGAATTGCTTGGCAATGAGTGTGTTATATGAAATGCAAAGTAACAGAATTAGTAATAAATAAATAAATGCATCTAGTAAAAGATGCTTAATTCTCAAGACTTAAACTAAATAGGATAATGATGTTACAGTATATTCTTCTTTGGAAATAATACTTTTAACTTGATTATTTTAGCTTCTTGAGTTAGTAGTTTCATAACAATATTAAATGGTGCTTAAATTTTTTTAATACAGACACGGCAGCCGATTTTCGTTCAGTTGCTTCATGCAGGTTTTAAAGTTTCACAATGTTCATGGCTAAATGCCGGTCAAAGATTCAATGTGGAAAATTGTATACGAACATTGTCAGAAGTAGGTGAGTAAACGTTTCTCATAGATTAAAATTGTACCCTTTTATAAATAAAAAATAAACTTTCTTTTCATTGTCAGCCAAAGGCAGAGGTATAGCTATACCAACAGACTTGGAAAGTCAAGTTGCTTCTATGTTCAATAAAGCTGCAATGCTTAGTAGACAAACAAGTAAATGGCTTCAGGCTGCAAAACAACCAAAAATAGAACGCACACAAAGTCAGGTAATAATAAACGTTGATTAAAAATTATTTGGGATTTCATCAATTTTTCTATTAAACCTGTTATAATAATGAATATTACTGACATAATCTCTGAATACATAGAGTGATTTAATTTGTGAGGAAGATAGTAAAACTGAGGTAAAAATTATTCACAAATCTCTGCACTTAACTAATTTGTTATAGCTGTAGTATAGTGTAGGAAAATGAGTAGTGTAGTAAATGTTCAAAGATACATGTCGAGTGCAACGTAGGCATTTCTTAATTAATTAAGAGTAAATGTGAGAGGAGAATTAAGAGTAAATGTAAGGGGAGAGCCTAAGTTGCACTCAACCGTACAATTAAGATTAATACACTTAATATACTGCAAAGATTAAACAAAATCAAAATATTTTTTTTATGCTTAAAAATAATATCTTTTTAGTTTCTTAGCAATCATTATGTTTCATAGCATTTGCTTATATAATTAACTTACATTATAGGAAAAATACTTATATGTATATGATCATTATTGAACAATGTATTTTTATTTAGCTAATGCGTTTGGATCGCAGTATCATAGAAGGCTTACAAGATATAGTATCATTATTGGAAGAGCAATTGAAACCACTAGTTCAATCAGAATTGTCCTTATTAGTGGACATACTCTACCGACCAGAATTACTGTTTCCAGCAGCGAGTGATGCTAGAAAAAGATGCGAAAATGGTGGATTTATAAAAAGGTAAATAAATTGTTATAATTAAGTATATTTTAAATAATAATTTTTCAATTGTTCATTAGATTAATCAAGCATACCGAAAAATTACTAGAAGAGAAAGAAGAGAAATTATGCGTGAAGGTGTTGAGAACACTCAGGGAAATGATGGCTATTGATCCTGAATATGGAGAAAAAGTGAGTTCTATAGAATCGTGCTTTGCATGGAGTTACAAGAATCATTTATATCATATGAAAAAGATTCACGACATTGTGGAAAAGGGCATTCAGTTGTTTCCGACAAAACGTTACTGATATTAATTAGTAGTGACAAATCCTTTAGGCATGCTTAACATTTACTAATCGCTTTGATATCTGAATAATGAATATTTTGGAATGCGATGGTAATGGCTGTTTTATAACGAACAAATATGCAATAATTCTCGTATTTTCCGAAGCTTATAAAAGTGCATTTCAGTACAGCAATAATGTGTGCTTATGTACCATTACGAAGATGATGTTTCATGATAGTACTAGCGCTTTAATAATGAGAAATTCAGAACTACTTTTGAGAGCATGCCTCTTCTTAAACTAGGATTTGCTACTATTAATTAGCACTGCACCTCGTACAACTGATTAAATATATATTACTGTTTCAAGTTCTAGCTGAACCTGAATTTATAAAAATTTGTGTCTCCACATGTATCTATTTGTACTTTACATGTTTGTTGAAAAGCTAAATGCCCATATGTTATCCGCACACTTTAGATTAACAAGTACGCGGTTAAAAGACTTTTTATTTGGAACTCTAAATGCAAACGAGATAAAGTATAATAAGCTTTATGAGTGTATACTACAAAAAAAAAAAAAAAAAAACATAAAATAACAATGGGTGAGTAGGTTTAGTAGAATAGAAATGTAGGTAAAGATGTTTTCATGCTGCAAACGAAGATCGAAGGTGTCTCGGAAGAAGAAGAAACCGAACAGAAGAACGAGTCACAAAGTGGAACAGGCTCTGTTGATGAGCCTGAACCTCGTCAAATGACTCAACAAGAGCGGGTAAAAATTAAAGTAGATAAGAACGGTAATTTGTGGGCACAACGTATATAAATTGGCAACATGAATTTTACTTATATTACTGAGAACTTATTTCACCGTCACTCTATCGTTAATTATTATGTATTTGTATAAATTATCTTATATCAAATATTTTTCATTGTTGTATAACTATATACACGTTTATGAAATATCAAATATTTTCAAACCACACAAACCACACATTCTCTAGTAGCTGCTTGTAGTATCAAGATTATATCATAAATTTCATGAAATTTGCTTAAATAAAATACATAATGTACGTTGTGTAGGTATACTATGCATGTGCTTGATGAATTTTATTATATTCACTTTAATTCATTCCTTATGCTACCATCTTATATATCTTCTTTATAAATATAAGTATAATATAGGTATGTGACCTCGTCTTTTTAAATAGAAGATTATTATTTGTTTTACTTCAATATAAATAATTAGACATTTAAGTAAGTATTTGTATAAGTTGAATGATTTCAACTGAATTATGATTTTGTGAATCATAATTTTTGATTAATTTTCAATTATTATTTTACTTAGTGTAAAATATTTTTTCAAGTACAATTCCAGTATGGGCATAGAGTTTAGAAAATAGTATAATATTTAAATATGTACATATATATATATTTTTATTCCAGATAGAGTGTACCAATACGTCTGTAGATCTTTCTTACTACGTATATAACACACATTTTCAATAGTAATAGGGATAGCAATGTAGAATTTAGTAATAGAATTATATTTTCAATATTGGTTCTTTATGTAATTTCTTAATATTGATATTATTGGTTGTAAAGGTACTACAAGTGTACTGTTAGTAAAGTCATTGACTTTCCTGATCTCAAATATTTAATTATTTTTCTACACATAATATATGAACTATATGTGTGATTTCTAGTTAATTCTTTCCATTTATTCTCAAATTTTGAATTTTAATGTTGTGCATTTTCCAAAGTATAATATTTATAATTTAAGTGTTCTCTTCTATTTTATTCACACATGTATGTATAAATTAATCTAATCAACAGATTATAAATTGCACAAATTTTTCACACTACTTTGGTGCACAAAGTATGTAAATACACAGTTTCATTACTTCTATTATTAAAGTAATAATTAGGCTGATATTACATATGATGCACTGGTACTCCCTTTCAAACATATTGAACTTTTTATCAATTTTTTCCGCACGATGTATTGGTACATCTCAGTTAATCAAAATGCATTCCATTTTATCAATTTGTGTTTCTTCTCCTTCTTCCACAGGGAGATGCATTAAGACACAATCTCTTGACTCGCTACTTTGGGAAATCTTTTATTCAGAAACCAGAAAACATAGAAATTGGAGTTTCTCATATAGCTCCAATCACTCATGGACCAGGAGGTATAAATTAATTTTGTAAAAATTAATTATAGAAGATAATAATGTATAATCTTTTGCAGCCAAACTGTTAAGTCGTGCAGGCCGCACGCTGCATGAAATTCAGAGTCATCTTGACCGTGAAGGCGCATCAGATTTAGTAGTGGAATTAGTAATTAAGAGCGTACACTCTCCAAGTATATTCGTAGAAGCTATAGAACTTGGTATTGCACTATTAGAAGGAGGAAATCCTATTATACAGAAGAGCGTGTTCAATAAATTGATGGGTGGCGATTTGAGTCAATCATTTTTCAAAGCAAGTCATTCTCTATATATTATATTGCAGATTTTATGCGAGCAAATAATTTAAACAATGCAATTTATAGGTATTTTATGACAAGATGAAAGATTCACAGCAGGAAATTAAATCTACGGTTTCGGTAAACACTTCAGACATAGCAGCTAAGGCTCATGAAGACAAGGAGCAGAGCAAGGAAATGGAGAAAATATCAAAGAAACGTACTTCAGGAAAACCTAATGGAATTGTGATAACAGATGAATTGAGAGAAGAATTAAATCAAGCAGCATCGTCTACTGTTCAAGCATATGCAAATGTGCGAAATCTTGCATCCGGTGAAGATGCAACGAACAATGCAGCCCTTGGAAATGCATTGGAAGATATGATAGCTGAAAAATTGGAGAGGCATCGTGGTGGAACGACAGAAAGGGACGAGGGGCAGTTGAGTATAAAAGTTTTAGTAATGCAACCGATATTACGTTTTCTGCAACTATTGTGTGAAAACCACAATCGTGATTTACAGGTAATTTCTTCAAGTTCTATATTTCTTTCAATGATATGGTAATATTAAAACGTCTGATTGATTTTATAGAATTTCCTGCGTAATCAAAATAACAAGACCAACTTTAATTTAGTATCTGAAACGCTCATGTTCTTGGACTGCATCTGTGGTTCAACTACTGGTGGATTAGGCTTATTAGGATTGTACATAAATGAGCAGAATGTTGCGTTAATTAATCAGACTTTGGAGACATTGACGGAGTACTGTCAAGGGCCATGCCACGATAATCAGAATTGTATCGCGACTCACGAATCCAATGGATTAGATATAATAACTGCCTTAATTTTGAACGATATCAATCCTTTGGGAAAAACTAGGATGGATTTAGTATTAGAGTTGAAGAATAACGCTAGTAAATTATTACTAGCTATAATGGAGAGCAGAGGTGATAGTGAGAACGCAGAGAGGATTATGTATAACATGAATCCAAAGCAATTAGTCGATGTTGCATGTCGAGCATTTCATCAAGAATCCTTGGATGATGATGGTGATATTGATGATTCCTCGACGGATGGTGAAGAAGGAGTATCACCCAAAGAAGTAATATAGTTTTTATATATCAAAATATCTTGATACTCAACATTAATTCCTTTTAGGTTGGACACAATATCTACATTTTATGCCACCAATTAGCACAACACAATAAAGAGTTGGCGTCGATGTTGAAGCCTTCTGAACTAAGCAATGCAGATCCAAAAGTTAACAAAGCATTGCAATACTATGCAACTCATACAGCTCAGATAGAGGTGCAGTATTCATACTTACATTCATTCAATAATAATTTTGTATTTATAAAACCATAAATTCCTTTCAGATTGTTAGAAATGACAGAACACTGGAACAGATTGTGTTCCCAATTCCTGAAATCTGTGAACTTATTACTCTAGACACAAAGATCAAAGTATTACACACTACAGAACGCGATGATCAGGGATCAAAAGTTTCTGATTTCTTTGAAAGAACAGAGGATATGTTCAATGAAATGAAGTGGCAGAAGAAACTTAGGGGTATGGTATTTTATGGCTTATAAGTTTTAAAGTTATTCAATCTAAATATATTGTTTTTTATTTACAGGACAACCAGTACTATTTTGGATGAGTAGTTACATGTCTTTATGGAGCAATATTTTATTTAACTGTGCAGTACTCATAAACCTTATTGTAGCTTTTTTTTACCCATTTGTGGATTCTGTGCCTAGTAAGTTCCTTATAGAAATTTAATAAGAAAGAATGTATAAGCATTTTTTTGTTATTTCAGAATTAAGTTCACACCTGTCCGCTCTCATTTGGACAGTAATGCTTTCATCAGGTGTTATCGTCATTACGCTACCAAGGGAATCTGGTATAAGAACTCTGGTAGCTTCAACAATACTACGATTAATATTTTCTATAGGACCGGAACCAACGTTATGGTTGCTCGGTTTTGTTACGGTAAATTTACAAGCCATAGATCAAAAATATATTTTCACAGGATCCTTGTGTATAATAAATATATGTTTTAGGTTGTATTAAAAGTTGTACATCTAATAAGCATTATAGGTAATCAAGGCACATTGACGAAAAGCTTAGAACAAATAGTGACGAACGTTGAACTTCTGTATCATATATCGTACCTTATATTTTGTGTTCTTGGAATTTGTATGCATCCATTTTTCTACTCAGTTTTAGTAAGTATTGAAATATTAGCTTATTTATGTTAAATAAAACAATGTATTATTAAACTTTTATCTTTGCAGCTGTTTGACGTAGTATATCGGGAAGAAACGTTGCTCAATGTAATCAGATCTGTTACAAGAAATGGAAGATCCATTATACTCACTGCTGTATTGGCATTAATTTTAGTTTACATGTTTTCTATCATTGGATTCATGTTCTTTAAAGATGACTTCTTAGTGACTGTTGATGAAGATATTGTGTGTAAGTAGCTGTTTCAACATTATGTTGTATGGTATTTCTAGTGTTGGTAGCTTTATTATTTATATCTCTTATTTATATTAATTGTAGCATCATATACCAAAGGAAGCACAGAAACGTGTGATGCTGCGGGTAGTGAAAAATGCGAGGCAACAGAAACTGTATCTCGGTATATTCGCGAAGGTATTTTAAATATTTCTCCATTGTCTCGTGCAACTTAGGCTTTTTTGATTGAATACAATACATAGGCTGATACCTTTATAATTGTACAGTTAACGAAAAGGATAGTCGAGCAGAAGTAATTAATATTGGTGGAGAACTAAAGGAACGAGCATGCGATTCACTGGTGATGTGTATCGTCACAACCTTAAACCAAGGTTTAAGAAATGGCGGTGGCATTGGAGATATTTTACGAGCACCTTCCAGTACTGTAAGTATATACATAAAAAAGGGTGAGACATGACTATCATTAATATTAATGTTAATCATTTTTCAGGAACCCTTGTTTGTTGCTAGAGTTGTGTACGACTTACTATTCTTCTTCATTGTAATAATTATTGTTCTGAATCTCATCTTTGGTGTTATCATTGATACATTTGCTGATCTTAGATCAGAGAAACAGCAAAAAGAATTGATTTTGAAGAACACTTGCTTTATTTGCGGTACATATATTTGATTTTAATTACATCTATACGTTTTCATTCTTGTTAGTATTTACAATATTTTTCTTTTACAGGACTAAATAGATCATCCTTTGATAATAAGACGGTGTCGTTCGAGGAGCACGTTAAACACGAACACAATATGTGGCATTATCTGTATTTCATCGTTTTAGTGAAAGTGAAAGATCCCACTGAATTTACAGGGCCTGAGTCTTACGTGTACGCAATGGTGAAGGTAATAGTCCATGGAGCTTCAAAAAATTGAATCGTGCTTTAACTTTTAAGCTCTGTGTACTTTTTACAGGACCGGAATCTTGATTGGTTTCCAAGATTAAGGGCCAAGTCATTAGCAGCTGACGAGGGTGAGGGTGAACAAGTAGAATTAAGAAGCTTACAGTCTCAGTTGGAATCCACGCAATGTTTGGTGAAATGTTTATCACAACAACTTACCGAGCTTCGTGATCAGGTAAATTATTCAACATTGTTCATAAGTATTGGTGTAGCTAGGACATATTTCTGTGGTGGTGGGCCAGGACCTTTAGGAATTTTGGAATTTTAAAATTTTAAAACTTTAGAATGAAGGAGACAGTTCACATTTTAGGAGAAAGGCAGGTCCACCCTGGCCTCTATCATTTTTTTTTTTTTTTTTTTTTTTTTACCGTGGGGAAATCTTGCATAAGACACCCCCGCCCTGTCGGGGCAGGGGTAGTGTCGGATTCTTACCGACTAAAACCCCACAGCGGTACAAATTCAAATGAACACACCAGAGCACCCTTGCCTCCACCTAGTTACTCCGATGCTCGTAATCATATTTCAATAATATCCGTTAACATGTTTAATCATTAGATGACGGAGCAACGAAAGCAGAAGCAACGGTTGGGCCTTTTGAATTCTGCGACCGCATTTTTACAGACCGTACCGACGTAAATAAGTACATTTGAAGAATTTATTTTTAATCATCCACGAATCTCAATTTGATACTCCGATGTAATATTTAATGGATAAGTTTGTGTGTTCTTAAGAAGCATTTAAAGACACCCGGGAAAGAAGTATCATGAAAATAACACAATGCATTTGTGTAGGTCTGTTCCTAATTTCAGAGTAAATAATTTTCATATGATAATAAGAATTGATTTTACTAAGAATAACATTAATTTTGCTTGTTTTATATTAGATAGAGAAATCACATTGTAAATTGTGTTAGTCTTGTCACTTTTAGTCTTGTCTAAATAAGTTTAGTTGGTACGTGTTACTTAACTTTTAACGATTGTGCAAAATTCAGTAGTACCATGGTAATTTTAATCTTTATGCGAATAAGCAACCGAATGCGCGCATGAAAGTATGATATACTATGAATGTAACATATCTGAAGTTCTTATTGAGGTTTTAATATTTCTGCAGCCTGTTTAAAACAGGTCTTTAAGAATGTTGAAGCTTTTATCCATGTAATGGATTTGTAAAATAAATGTCTGATATTTCACTTGATACATTAGTAAGTTCGTTCCGTTCGTTGTGTCTATAGTCTTTTACGTTTGTAAAATAGGCATAATCTTACAGTAATCACATTATTTACTCATATTTTAATTGGTGATAATAATTGAATTTAGATATGTAAATCGCGTGCGTGTAAGTTTTACAAAAAATCAGATTAGATATTGAGAATTTGTTTTATTACTTTCTTTCAATATTAGGATATGTATATTACAAAGAAATTATCTATTTGTTTATAAATTCTTAAACAGTTGGGTATTATCCAATTACCTCATGAATGAAAAAAGCAACAGAGAATAAGTGGAAGAGCGATTCATAATTAAATGTTATAGAATTTTACAGTTGTCTATTTTCCTGATGTCTGATGCCAGTAGATAGATAAACCGCGGATAGAGCAAAATGAAGAAAGAATGTGGATACGCGATTCAGATCCTTATATCATTAATCGTAGATATTTATAGTAAATCAATGTCAATAAATATCGTTATTTAGTTCTATGCAAATAGGCGAACATTAAGAGATAATCTTTATATGTATTTGAAGTATATTCAATGGAAATATATTTAAGCTGTTATTCACTATGCACCAGAAAACATTCTTGAGCATCGTAGAGGATTATGCTTTTTATTCATTGAAATATATCTTCCACCAACATGTTGATCTTAAATGATGTTCAACATCCTTGTCTCTCTTTCTGTAACATTTATACATATATAAATTTTTGTTTTTAACAGCGAAACTACATGTAATGTATATACGCATACTATTAAGAATACAACAATAAAAATTGTTGTTTCCTTCTGTGCCAACTTTATCAGATGTTTATTATGAGTTGTTATTTAAGATTTTCATCGTACATTCGAAAGAAATGGATTACCTCTAGATGTACATGTTTCATTTTCCAATTGTAAAATGTATAAATAATAGATTGTATTCAAACTTGTATGTGAATAAATTGTTCTTTTTTATCAAACCGGCTTTTCTATAGCAGTTTAGCATTGATAAAAAAATTACATCTAGTCAATCGCAGAAGCAGAAATTCAACTATAAATTAGCCGTTTCGCGCTAAAGCGCACCAGTTTGTCTTCGGACGTCGAAGAAGGAGGTATACGCCGATTTTCTACCGCAGCGCCATCTATACACAAGTGGAGGAAACTACTCAACAATTTACCGATTGATCTTCTGAAACATTGTGGGGTGATGGTAATGCAGGCTTTCCATGAGCCAGCAGCGACTACCCCTAAAACACTATACCCCTGCATCCCTTGTATATTGAATCCCATATAGCAGTGCATCCTGCACATCATTCCTCCCTTACACCTCCATATCCCTTACATCACCGTATTCCTTACATCCCTGTATTCTTTACATATTTGCATCCCTTATACTCCAACATCACTTATATTTCTGCATCCTTTATACTCCCGCAACCCTTACATCTCTGCAAACCTTATAATAAACATATTACAAATATAATAATATATTATGAAAAATATATTTATGGCCACTGGTTCGAGTAAAGGTAAGTAAAGGTAATTAAAGGTAAGTAAAGGTAAGTAAAGTCTTGTGAGACCACAAAATTGTTGTAAAACGGAACTTTTTGAAAAAAATTTGGCCCTCTGACGGCAAAAATGCGAACTAAATTATCGATGTTGAATCGGCGCCATCTGGTGGCGAAAAAAGGAACTAAATCAAGCCAGAATTTTGGCCCTCTGGCGGCAAAAACGCGAACTAAATTATCGATACTGAATCAGCGCCATCTGGTGGCGAGAAAAGGAACCAAATCGAGCAAGAATTTTGGCCCTCTGGCGGCAAAAATACGAACTAAAATCTCGGCGTTGAATCAGCGCCATCTGGTGGCGAGAAAAGGAACTATATCAAGCAAGAATTTTTGCCCTCTTGCGGCAAAAATGCGAACTAAAATCTCGGCGCCGAATCAGCGCCCTCTGGTGGCAAAAAAGGAACTAAATCAAGCAAGAATTTTGGCCCTCTGGCAGCAAAAATGTGAACTAAAATTTCGACGTTGAATCAGCGCCCTCTGACGGTGAAAAAATGAACTAAATTTGTACAAATTTTTTGCTTTCTAGTGCCGGGAACAAGTGATAAAGGATGTAGAGGATGCAGGAATGTAAGGGATGCACGAATGTAAGGGATGTAGGAATGTAAGGGATGCAAGGAATGTAAGGGATGAAGTAATGTAAAGGATGCAGAGATGTGAAGGATGCAGGGATGTGAGGAATGCAGTGATACAAAGAATTCAGGGTTGTAAGGCATGCAGACATGTAAGGGGGTAAGGAAATGTAAGGGATGCACTGAAAGGGGGTAGGGTCGAGCCTTGTGCGGCCTTCAAAGACAAAAGGAAATAATAAATAACTGGGAAGGGTGAACCGTGTCCCATAATAGGTAACTTGGATCCCATAATAGGATAAAGTAATAAGTAACTTGGAAGTGTGGCTCGCGTAAGAGCCATAAAAAGGGATCAAATAATAAATAAAAGGGATTACCAACAACATGCGTTAGAATGTTGCAGTGCGAAGTGTTTTATACAGCAGATGGCGCTCTGCGCCAATTCAAGACCCCTTGAAAACAAAGGCATGTCCAATCTTATTGGATCTGTAGACACTTGTGTTTTAGGCGTAAGGAAGTAGAAGTTCTGTTGTAATTAAATTGCAAGGCAACACCATGCAGATTTCATAAACAATAAAAGCAGTGTACTTTAATTTAATATTATCTTAATAAATGAATGAATGTGATGAGATAAAGTTCTTAAAACGTGTATATGTTTCATTTCGTAGGTTATAATTATTGTTAGAGACATAAGCATTATGAAGACTTTCTCCTACAAAGCGAAACTAAACCATTTATGTCTGTTTGAACACGAACTTATGCAGCTGTTGTTGGTTAAGAAACCTACTGGTGTTAACATTGTTCAGGAGCGTTCACCTTCTTCTAACGTATTTTCAAAAATCGAATTGACATGTTTGGCAGATTATTATTATCAAGGAACACAAAACACGTGGGCATATTAACAGTTGTTTGCATATAGTAAATAACAATGAAATAAACATACTATGTTATGTCACTCATGTTTTTGATACTTGAGTTCTTTAATTCTTTAATTCGCATATTTCCCTGACACTTTGCTTCTATTAACAAATAGACTGCAAATGTGGATTACATGCTATTAAGTATTATTACACAGGGTGATATACGTGTATGTTAAAATTGGAAATAATGAGATTATTCAGAGTGATGAGAAAGCTTCATAGAAGATAATTTTTAATCAAGAAAGCACAGAATGATGTGTACCATAAACAAAGTTGTAAGTTTTCATACTGATACATATTATAAACTAATAAATACAATTTAATGATAAATTAATTATCTTTCAGAATCCTAGATTCCTTTTTAGGAGTTATTTTAATATATTAATTTATGAATTAAATAAAAGCTGTTGAAACAGTCCACTCCTATAATATGTGTACTTGGTTGAGATAGAAGATTTTAATAAAATGTCAGTTGCTTCCTGTTCAAAAGTTAAAATAATGGATATTGTAAATAGCAAAGAAGAGATGATATACGAAAAATGGGAATGTTTTCATAATTGGGTACATTGTATATGCATTGTTACTTTTGATCTTGAATTAGGTCAAGCTATAGAGGTACATTTTTGTTATATTTAACATTTCTTTTTCATTTAAATGTTATTATCTATAATAATAATATATTTTCTTATTTATCAGGCTATATATCCACCTCATATCAAGTTATCCGAACAAGAGAGATCTAATGTCTGTTATCTTGCTTTTCCTGATTCGAACTCTGGCTGTATGGGGGATACTCAATATCATGTAAGAATAAGGCAGAATGGAACTATGGTGCAAGAGACTGCAGCTTTAAAAGAATATGGTAGAAGATCACCTCCATTCTTGCAGTGTGATAAAGATTATTATTGGGGTTACGTCTATTTTCGTCAAGTAAAAGACAAATCCCTTCCAAGAGGATATTTCCAAAAGGTTTATTTTACATAACAAAATAATAAATGTTATAATGTATAAGTAGTAACATTATTTATATTTTAGAGTATTGTTATTATAACAAAACTGCCATTTGTGAATCTCTTTGGCGAGTTGTGTGCTTTAATTGCCCCTGAGTTTTTTGAATTGGGTAACACAGTTATGGAAGTTATAGTAAGGGAAATTAATCAATGGCCTCCTCCAATACCTGGCCAAGTAGTGCATTTACCACTTATAGGAGTTTTATTTCAGGTAAAAACACATCTTACCAATGATTGGTTCTCTTTTACGTTAATTTTTATTAACTTACATTATAGACATACATCCCAAATCAAAACTATAAAGCAACCGCACCCACGATTGCTGCCATGGATCATGCGCCAAATTTTCATGCAACGCGAAGACTAATTTTAACATCCGTTTACGAAGGAGATATGTTTAGAAGTTTAGCTAGTGTTGTAAATTATGTACATTTATTATGGGAGTTAGTATTACTTAGCGAACCGATAGTTGTTATGGCTGGTTCACCTACTGGCTGCTCTGAAATGGTCCAAGCACTCATCGCGTAAGTATTCTATGTTATATAAATATTTGGAAAGTGTATATTATTAAAGAAAATTCTTTTTCAGACTAATAGCGCCGTTAAAATATTGCGCCGATCATCGGCCTTATTTTACAATTCATGATTCTGAATTTAAAGAATACACTACAGACGCTCCATCACCTCCCGCTGTAATATTAGGTGTAACCAATCCGTTTTTCGCTAAAACTCTCCAGCATTGGCCTCACATTATAAGAATAAGCAATGGAACTAATAATGGTAAGTTCTATGAAACAATGTACAAGTAGAGCGTTGAAATTCCATATGTTTTAGAAAATCAAAGGTACAAAATAAAGAAATCCGAGAATCTCAAGGTGCTAGATTCAAAGCCAGGAGTTTATACGCAATATAAACCTTTCCTTCAGAAAGATAAAGCTATATTGAAAAAGTTATTTAGAGGTATACAGACGAAAAGACCAGGGGAAGTGCAGACAGCTCTTTTAAAACGTCATTTAATAGAACTTACTGAAAGTTTTATGATACCTCTTGAAAGATATATTGCCAGTCTTATGCCACTACAAAAAGACATATCACCATTCAAAGTAATTATTTGCTTTTTTGTATTTCATGTAACGGAGAGTTTAAATGATATTGTATGAATCATACTTATTTTAGGCTACGCCCATACCTGAATTATTTAATCCAGACGATTTTTTAGCTACTCTAAGTAGCGCCGGACCGCAACTGACTACCGGCATAAAAGGAGATTGGGTTGGATTGTACAGACGATTTTTTCGATCCCCTAATTTTTCCGGATGGTTTCATAGTAGATATACTGAGCTATCACAGAAGCTACAAGTTATACAACTCGAAGCATTGTCGCAAGCGGTTAGTTTCTCTAACCTATAACTTATATTTTTTCATCTAATTTGATTGTGATTAATTACAGGATTTAAAAACTTGGGTGCAAGGAAAGGAAGAGGTAGAATTAGTAGATATGATTCTTCGAATTCGACAAAAATTAGAAAAGACTTATATCGATGAAGTACCTATAGGCAATTCTGTACGAGAAAAACTGCAAGAAAGAATAGACGATATTACTCATACGTTGCCGGACGATTTGAAAGATATTTTGAATCGCGAATCTTGACATTATGATTACTTTATTAGTTTTGAAGCTTGCTAAGTAATTCTACTATCATCGGTACATAATAAAGCGAATTCAATTGAAGATATCTCTAAACATCGCTCTCTTCGTTAATAAGTGTAAAATGATGCGAAGGGAAAATAGTACTGAGAGAAGTATTTAAACTACGTGTAAGATATGAAAATGTACGAAGAACGACTGGATGTACTTTGGAAAGAATAATTCAGTTTCATTTGAAATTTGTTTAATTTACGTTGGAATACTCCAAGATAGATGTGAGCCAGGACTACTTTTCCTTTTTATATGAAACGTAACATAAAACGTGATACAAGAGTCAATAATGATGTGTGAAATATTTCCTAGGTGTGACTAAAGACTTACGAGCTCACGTTAATATTCCTACATTAACAATATTTTATATGTATTTGTCTCAATATTCTTTTCTAACTAAATATTATTTTTTGATATTTTACAATTCATAGCCATGTTATGTAATCAAATTTCTTCCTAACATCATTTATTTAAGTAATTTATTAATCATTTTGGATTGTTTTTTCTGTTAATATTAAGTAGAATAACGTTTATTCCAAAGGTAATTATGAACTCTAATTACATGTGAATGTAATAGAAAAAGAGAGTATTACCTGTTAAATGTACATATATGTTTAACTTGAGATCTGTAAATACTGATATGAATCATGAATGTAATAAAGATTTATTTTAATAATATCATTGTGTTGCTTATTATCATAAAATAAAAATCATGTATGTACATACCTACTGCTATTGGATCTTGTGTCTAATGTCTATGATATACTTATTTGTTTTAATATTGCTTTTGGTGCTTTTAAGGCTCTGTATTACGCTTAGTGAATCAGAACATATCACGAAAGAATGGTTGGGGTTGTCGGTTGCAATATCCAGGGCCCTAGATAGTGCCACGCATTCCGCTGTGAATACCGAAGCAAGGAAGTTGATGCTTATGTTAAGATTCATCTCTTTATCCAATTCACTAGTGTAGATATTGGTGCAGTGTGAAGTATTGGAAACAATTTTTGCTAAATAGTTTTTCCCCAAGAATGTGGCTCTGTCAAGTAAGTATGGAAAACCCAGTTCTGCCAGAACCACATTGTTAGGGATGCTCGTTCTTAGAGTTGTAAGGGATGTACAAATGTGAGGAGTGCAGGGATGTACGGGAAGCAGGGATGTAAAGAATTTTTTTTTTTAACGTGGGGAAATCTTGCATGTCAGATTCCTACCGACTAAAACCCCACGGCGACCAACACTGGCGCTAATATCATTGTAAGAATACACATAACATTTTTCTGCCTTGTATTCGAGCATGCGTACAATGTCTCAGCGTCACTCACAGACATGTTTCCGTATTATTAAAAGGATAATGAATATTTATTTTGTTAATACACAATATTTAAATAATTGTAAGTTTAAATTATTTCTAAAGCTCATTTTGGTCACAATCCTTTATCTGAAAACAAAAAACCTATATACATGTATTTGTATTTTACATTATAATTTAGTCATATTGTGATAATACCTTTATGCTGTTCTAAAAACGCTTTTATACTTCTTACACATTGTTCATATGCCTTATGGAATCCAGCACTGTTGCTATCCTGTAAATAATATTTTTATAAATTTAGCTTTATGGTTGAAACAAATAATTCAGTCTTAACTACTGTGGTAAACAGATTAAACTACAATATTTATTATTTAATAATTCTGTACATAGTAAGGATCTCTTATTATGACTTCTCCTTCTGGATCATAATTTCCAAGAAGTTCAATTTTAGCAGTACAATTACTGGGTTTCATATCATTAAGTTCCTGAATATTACTCTTATCCATTCCAAATATCCAATCAAATCTGATAAAATCACTTTCACTGATCTGTATTAAACAGAAAGATACATTAAGAGTTATCAAAATACTTCTTCAGATTATAAAAAACCTACTTACTGGTCTTGCTTTATGAGAATAATTAGTGATACCCTTTTCTCTTAATGTAGACATAGCTCTATGATCTGGATTTTTACCTGTATGGTATCCTATTAGAGCTGCACTTTCTACTTGCCATGAATCGTTTAAGTCTAATTTATTTATTTGATCAATAAATACAGCTTCAGCTATGGGCGAACGACAAATATTTCCTGTAAACCAGAAATCACCTTGGTGTATTTTACTGTTTAAACTTTATGTTTATATATGTATTTTGTAATATACCTAGACAAATCATAAGCACTTTTTTCTTTTGTGCCATATTCAGTACTTCTTAAAACACCAAGAAAAGTCCTTATAATTTGTATAACCTATTATATGTAAGGATTTTAAACTATTATCTTTATATTGTAGTACTAAACATGTAAGGTTTATTTGTAATCACTCCAATGGGTCTCGAGTAGCCTAGGGAGTTTTTGTCTTTAATAAAAAAATTTAAAAAAAAAAGGTACTAGGTCCCACGGGAAAGAAATGGTAAAGCAGAGCGACACGAATTCACGATAAAAATTATGTATCTTTATTGCACTACACCTACGCCGTGTCTGCACTCTAAACGTTGTGCTTTTTGAATGCGTGAGACGCTTGCTTTTTTTGCATCTTGCTAATTGTACAGCAGTTTTACCAAACTAACTATAGACTAGAAACTAAAACTAACCTAACTTAACCTAGTGACATTCAGAGGGCGCATCGGAGCGCGCCGCTGGTCGCTACATTTTTATGGCGGTTCATATGAAATAAAGTCGTCAGCAAAATTTTTCCTGCGGATCTCTCTGCCGTATGTGGCCGATGATGAGAAGTTAAGGATGATCAATACAATAAAAATCAATAGACTTGCATAGGATATAATGCGAAAACAACAGGGAGTTCAATATAGTTCTTCAAATGGTATGATGCAAAAATGCATTGTACTTACACTCCTCTGTAATATTGAGCTAAAATAATGTGATATTTATTTTGTAAAAATAAATGTGAGCATAAAAGATATGCATATATTTTGTTGCACAAGGTTTTTTACATAACCTTAAAACGATGCTGTAAATAAACATAATTGTTGATTATTTTGAAAGTAATAAACCGCAGCATGTCTCAAAAAAAAAGAGTATTAATGGTATGTTTAGGTATGTTAAGAAATACTAATGAGTCTTTGAATCAAATAAAAACGAACATAATACTTTTCAAGCTCTTTAACTTTGAATAGGAAATAGCTGTCGTTCTCCTATAGCAGAAGCATTATTTGATGATTTTATAAAAAAACTAAATCTTCTCGATTTTTGGGAAGTGGATAGTGCTGCTCTTTTACAATATCATGTAGGTAATGATCCAGAACCTAGAGCTGTGTCTGTACTTAAAAATAGAGGTATTACACAATATTCTCACAAAGCAAAACAGGTAAATTAATTTTGCTTTTCAAATTAAAAATAGATACTAATATGTTAGCTTGTATATTTTCAGATTACAAAAGAAGACTTTTATAAATTTGATTGGATACTGGCAATGGATAGTGGAATTGCTTATGATCTATGTCAGATGCAACCAGAAGACAGTCAAGCTAAAATTGAACTCCTGGGAAAGTACGATCCGAATGGAGAATTAAATATACGAGACCCGTTATTTGTAAATATTATTTGATGTTAAATATTTTTGTATATGTTGTATAATAATAGGTTTTAATTAATCTTTTAATTATAGGATGATGATAGTGCCGGCTTTGAAAAAGCATTTGAACAAGCTACAAGAAGCATAAAATCATTTCTAAAACAACGTACAAGCATTACCCGTGATTAATTAGCATATTATAAATTGAATGTTATTTATAAATTATTATAAATAATAAATAAATGTAAAGTATGTAAATGCATTGAATGTATATTATTTTTATTTAACTTTACATCCATTTATATAAACTTCGATTATATTACGATCATCTCCGGAATATATAAATTTTTGAAATTTTTCTATTAAGGTATTGTCTTGTAAATCATTTAAAAGTCCAATACCAGTATCTACAATTAAAGCATCGAATTGTTTACCTTCCTCAAAATTGCCTATCTCATTTTGCATTGCAAGAGCTAAAAGGAAATAATAAAAATTTACTATATTAATATCCCAAAAATCTTGTATTTGATTTTATAAACCATACCAGTTGCACCTCCTAATGTGGCCATATGAAATACATCTGTATAATTAAGTGCCTTATAGTTGTTCTTAGTAAGGTAAAAATGGTTTGATAAGTGCAAGGCTAACCTCATTGTTTCTAAAATACTACAACATTGTCCTCCTGCAACATCTTTAAATAAAATAAGTCATATGATTAGGATTATTCAAATTAAATACTCATATGTTAGAATATTCCCTTACCACTGCCAAGACCAACTTTTATTCCTTTACTTTTTAAATGTTGAACATTACAAAGGCCACTTTTCAAACAAGTATTGGATGAGGGACAATGAATAACTGCTGTACCGCGTTCTTTTAACAATGCTATTTCATCATCTGAGAGGTATATTCCATGAGCTAATACTGTCTGAAAGTAGATTAGACTTTTTAAACATTTCATATGTTATGTATAATAATTTTATATACCTTATCAGTTAGAAGTCCAGCTGCATCATAAACAGCTGAATATGAAGAACATTCAGGAAACTTGTTTTTTACTGCTTTTATTTCATTTAAGTTTTCAGATACGTGGCTCTGAAATATTTTATATATACTAAAATAACTGATACACAAAATATAATATTTACTAAACAGAAATATGATTTTATGTACTACCTGTACATGAAGACCTTTTTCTTTTGCCAGTTTTCCTAACTGTTTCATCAATGTCATGTCACAACTTAATGCAAACCTTGGTGTTATGACTGGTTTAATAAGAGGATCCTGTAACAAATGAAAGCTGAAATTTATATAAATGAGATAAGTAAATATAATATTGAAGGTTGTATCTTACATTTAATTCATTAATTTCCTCTATAAATCTGTTAATATTTGTAATAGATTCTTCAGTATTTTCATAATATCCATCATCAGATTTTTCATTCATGCTTATTTTTCCAATAAGAGCGCGTTGTCCTACTTTTCCAGCTTCTTGTCCAAGTATTACAGATGCTTTTGTATAAAGTGATGCAAAATAACATGCTGTTGTTGTACCTTGCATTACAGTTTGCTTCTGTAATTAAAGATATAATGAATGTTTTTATCATATCATTCTGATATCTCTGTTACATAAAACTTACCACAACTGTCTGAAATACCTGTCTAGCAAAATCTTCATTTGTATATTTCTTTTCTAATGGAAAAGTATAAGTTTCAAGCCATTCTAAAAGCTCTTTATCATACCCAATTCCAATATTAGGAAGTTGAGCAGCATGAATATGGCAGTCAATAAATCCTGGTATTAGAAATTGATTTTTGCTAAGGACAGTCACATTGTCACATTGTGTGTTTTTTAATTTATTCAATGGATTTATTACTATCTTATTAACCTAAACAGTAATAAATATATAGGTATAGTTTACATTTTCTTTCTTATATTCATTAATACCTTTCCATCCTTAACATAGATCACACCGTCATCAACGATAATCAATTGTCCCTGTTCGTTGGTATGAATAAACGGACCAATAAATATTTTTTCTTCCGATAATGTTGACATCGTGTCCAATTTTATTAATAATTCACTGCACCTGTAAATGTTCACAAACAGTAAAATTTAATAACAAAAGTAATTATGTGTAGGATGGTATGGGCGAATGAGGGATTCGGAGGTAACAGAAAAGAAATCACTCTGAGTACATACATACACAGTTAAATATCTTCAATAATAATTCGCCGATCATTCTCGATCCGGCTCTGTTCAAATCTTATTGTTAGTCGAAACATACATTTTTCTGTTCGCGTTCACGGTTTTAAAGCTAGCGGATAATAGGCGTTTCTCGCCTCCGCCAATTAGGAGTTCCCAAAGAATTCCTAAGGCCCTTGACATCTCCCTCCCAATATAGGCGCTTGAGTGCGGCGGCTAATTCGGACCCTTGGTTAATCAAAATCGAAATGCCCTATTGTGGCTGAAAATTAGTTTCCGTACTTTGCAAAAAAATAGCCGACATCATATTCGAGTTATAATCCTGTTCCCGGTCGGCTCGGCTGTCGGACATCTGGCCGCCAGCACCAATACTTTATTGCCTACATATGATGATTTACCGATATATATATATATATGTATATATTCTTAGCGACCGATGAGGATGTGCTCAGTAGCGCATATTGATATAACACTAACACCAAGCTCAGAGCCGACAGTTACTTTGCAATAATAGATAACACTGTACAAACTATATCGTGAGAAAAACTATTTTTTAAAAAATGAGTAGCAAAAAAGAACAAAAACCAAACGAATCCAAAAAATCAGATAAAATGATAGATCCTCATCGAGAATATTTAGATATGGATACAGATGAAGAAGATTTTGGACGGCAAGGTAAAGTAATTATATGTAAGTTTGATAATTGGTTTATTTGAAAAAAAAAGATAATTAATTAAACTTTACATATATTCTAAAATATTATGATCTTTTGAATGATTTCTTATCAATCATTTGATTAAAAATTTTAAAGATCCTCAAAATTATTGTTGAATTTATAGAGATGCAATTTTTTATTTCTCAATACGTGTTAAAAAACAATTTTATTTTTTGTAAATATAATAATATTATAAGATACTTAACTGTATTCCAGAGTCACTCGAAGACGAAGAAGAGATTTCCTTAGAGCCCGAAAAACCAGTATTCAATGAAGAGGATCTGACTACTTTAGTTAGTATAAGTTTTCTTAATACTTAATTCTTAAAACATAAAATTTAACGTAACAGTATTATTTCAAATATTAAAATGCGATAATATTTGAATACCAAAATGTATCCTCTGTATCGATGGAATGCAATAAGTATTACGAAAGTAATTGTTGTTTTCACATTACATAGCGTGTACTGCAAGATTAGATAATAATATTCGTAAGCGAATTGAGTAAGCGATCATCTCACAATGATAATTAATTTCGTTGAGATGACATCTATGGCGCGTTTTTCAAAATGCACTATTGAAAACTTTTCATCGGAATATGTTCACAGGTGAATAATGTAAAAAGTTTAACGATACACTCCTCTGTACGTGATGCAGTGTGGAATGAAAGTTCTGATGAAATAATACGAGATTACTTCGAGAATCCATCGCACGTGGTGCTAAGCACATTTTACGAAGATAACAAATTACATGCAGCTTTAAATATTCCGACAAACGCTCCTAAAGGATTTACATATTTTTTAAGATCATCGTGGCACGTATATACACCAGAGAATTTTTTTAATACCGTCTCGTTCGGTACTATTAATGGAAATTTTAAAAGTTGTATTTTAAAGTTTATGGAAAATATTTATGCACCAACTGTGCTTCACAGCGACGAGTATTTATCATGTATCCATTACATAAATTAATTTACTTACTGTACGTATTATCTTTGCATAATTTTTTTTTATTTCGAATTAAACTAATTATATACATACATATATATAAGTCATAATATCGCAACTATAATTTTCCATAACGAGCAGTTCTAAGAAACGATCTGCTTCTAAATTTGCACGAATTTATTATACATCTAAGCGAGGCAATTTACAAACCGATGGGTTTGACTATTTTATACGTGCCAAAGGAACGTCTTGAAATATTTTCGAAATTATCTAACAAGATTAATTACTTCTTCCTGGGTGAAAATCAAACGACAACAATTTCGGACGAAGACGAAAGAAAACGAAAGTTAGTTGGAAGATTAGAGAAGATAGTTTGGTATTGGATTAGGCAAATGCATAATGTAACACGTACATTATTAATAACTAAAGCAATTAAAAATATACAAGATAAAGTTAATGATTGCAATTCAAAACGTCAGTGTCACGTTAATTAAAATTGTGTTTTGCTAGAAAAAATTCTTTCATTTAAAAATACATTACTTATAGATTCGAACTTGAACCAACTGCGGGACCAACTTCTTAATCCGGAAGTACGATTCATCATCGAATTACTGAACGATTTGCGTTCTCCTATGGCAAGCAAATTCGAGGAATTAATTAAGCATGTAGATGCAAAATTAAAAGAAACCTGGTCAAATTTAATGTATCTAAACATCTTAAATAATTTTTGCAAAGATCTAAATATTCCAGAGGACGCTGAAAATTCTGTAACAGAAGCCTTACTCTTAATACTATTCATTTGGACAGAATCGTCATTCTATTCGAGCGGGTAAAAATGATGATTTATTAATAATTATAAATAATAATTAAAGTTCAATATTTTAGGAAGAGGATAGAAATTCTTTGTCAAGCATTCAGTTCCCAGATAATACAACAATGTAAAGAATATTTAGAGCTGAATGTTGCTTTTGAAAGTGATCCAGAAATGGGCATACAAAACCTAGAAAAGTGTATATCTTGCTGCGATAATTATAAAATAATTTACAGTAATGTATGTTAATATTCCTAACGTACTGAATTGTTTAATATGAAATCTAATATTTTTAGTTAATTACAAATGTTGTCCCTTGTATCAATCTTACTAAACAATGGAGTATAAATGATAATAAGGTTTTCGATCAAATTGATGCTTTTAAGCAAAGATGTAACGACGTCATCGAAATTTGTCGAGCGTTAATTGTATTTGGAAGGTACTTAAAATTAATCCTCGAAAGAGTTTTATACATTAGGGGAATAATATCTAAAGGAATAGTATAAAATTTAGAGGAATGAAAACTTTTAATTTACATTATTATATTTAATAGATGCAATAAAGTAGGAACGATCGGAAGCGTCAAAGGAAGAGATCACGAAACATATTGGAGAGAAATTGAAAATTTATTTCACGAAAGTTTAGAGGAAATTATAGCGGTTCGGGATATTATATTTGACGTTACAAAATCTATATGGCTTCAAAAGATTGAAAACTTTCGATATATAATTCTGCAATTAGAAAATATGGTAATAAATCTAATCAACGATGTATTTAAAGATGTTAAGAACGTGGAAGAAGGTGTCGAGACGATTTTTGCTTTCCAAAAATTTAAAAAAAGAGAAAGTTTGAAAGAACTTCTACAAAATAAATGGATACAGGTATATAATATTAAAAAAAATAATAATTTATAATATTAGTAATTGTATAAATTCACAGGTATGGAAAATTTTTAATAACGAAATCGAGTATTGTTATACCACTGCGATTAATGAATCAAAGGAAGAAGCTGTTATGAACGTAAAATTGTTATGCATATTCCAATATTTAAAACGTCAATATTCTATAATGATAAATTCATTGAATTGGGTAGGAGAGTACGGCGCTGAAAAGTAAGTAAAACTATATAAATTATTTAAACACATTTATTGAAATGATAGATCTTCATTTGAAAGTATTTTATTTAGATACGCTAAACATCTTTTTTTAATATAATTTTACTACGATTGTATCGCTAATAGGACGTATCATGCATAATTTTAGGTGTATCTTACAACGATGTGAATATGTATTAGATGTAATTGACGAGAGAAGAAAGATGTTTAACATTTACAATGAAACATAGGAATAAAGATCTGTACTATTGGAATCATAACTGAATGTATGAAGAATTTTTCATAAGAAAAGTGGAATAACAAAATCATTTCATGTACTATATAGATCAGCTGTTGTTTAAAAATTGTACTGTTATAATTTTGGACGGGGTACTATGTTCATAACATTTACTTTTAACATGTTACTTCCATTTTTAATTTAAAACAATTATTATTAGGTGACCCAAAGAAATATTGGAATGTTATTCTTTTTACAGTTTATTTAATACGAAATTTTATGTTACTTATATTTGTTCTGAATGTTATAACAGCCTTGTAATGCAATTCACCTTGGTATATTAATGTTCATATTGTTCTACCTTCTTTCCTCATTTAAACTCCTAAGTATTGTAGCATAATCTTCCAAAGATTTGAGCTACACGAATTCCTTCTCATCAATCACCCTGCCTTCTTTCTTAATAGTGTAAAAATAAAATTTTTAATATAATCGGCATAGGATGAAAGAGAAATATTAGATGGCACTTTACACATTGTGAGGTATTTGAATAGTAACTAAAGTAAATATTATACTTTAGTAATTTACTATATAAAAATTATTTTACATAAATTATTAAAAAATTCGAAACATTAACAATAGTAATTATATACTATATCAGATAGTGATTATAAACAAGATATTGCAATTGATATCACATGAAATGAGTAAAATAAAATTATAACGTTGAAAGATTTACACATAAATATAATCTTTCAATTTCTTCATAAAGTGTATCTTCTGCATTAAAACTAATCAACTTTGGGAACTTTTAACATTAAATAAATATGTATGTAATGTCTATGGCAAATTTAATTTCTTATTTGCTGTAAAATTATAGAAATCGTTAAAAATACCAATACCAACATTTATCCATGACATAAATTGAACTAATTACTACTGAACTTGCAAACATTGAGTATTTAATTCACAAAATTTCAATCCTACAATTTTTAATAATTTATCTGTATTTAGGCACAGCACTTATACTTTCATTTTCTAATATGCTATTAGTACCTTTTATATACTGTGGTCCCTTAAGCAACTCTGAATACGACTAAAAGTGAAAGATAGATATAACAATGTTACACTCATAACTTGGTTCTTTACCTTATTAAGATACATGTTGTATTAGATTTTTACATTTCCCAAAGTTATAGTAATTACACAGAACATCCACATGATATATATATTATATAACTTTATAAAAAAAATATATGTTAATAAAGTAAAACATAAAATGCAATCAATGAGTAGTTTTAAATATAATCCATTTATGGCAATGTATATAGGGTAATCTATGTAATTAACGATCACTGCTGTACTATTAAAACACATAAATAATAGTACTAATGTAATCATTTCAAAATAGTATTGTATATTAAGTACTTTATGTAACAAATATATACGAAAACGTATAAATACATCTGCATTTATGGTTGTTCGAATATACCATAAAATGTATATTATGAGCATATATTAATGGAGGCATATTATCGAAAGTTATAGTCTGAACACAACAAAGGCTACTAAATATACACAGAAGACTACTGATTTTAATATTAATAGTAAATTTAATAAATCATTACTTGAGTGGAAAAATAGATATAACTTTCAACAATAAAAAATATATAAAAATATATCTATTAGTATTGCTGAATGTATTCTAAAAATAATATAGTAAAAATAGAATAGCACCATTTGTAAGTTTATTTATGTTTCATAACTCTAAGTAGTATTTATATTACATTGAAAAATTCAACATAGATTACCCTATAATCATTTGTGTACGTTTACTTAGGAACTATTATAAAATTTATACATAAATATTATGTACATTCACTTTCTAATTTTGATTATCATAATACTGTAATCTACCATTTGCTTAGAGTTTAGAGAATTAGAACACTCTTTTGGCACAAGTAACTTAAACAATAGTACGTATTTGGTTTCTTTGTTCTACTTACTTTTAATACAAGGTTCAATTTGATGCAATAACTAGATTTTCTTGACCACTTGTTACCGTAAAAATTGGACTACTCGGTGGATCTTTGTAATCAAGTAATTCGCTGTCATCACTGAAGGAGCTGGCATCGGAAGAACCAATCTGTTCCAAACGCGACGGTGGTAAAAGAAATATCAATGAAATGGCTATTATCATATGCCATGCACTGTGAACATACTATAAAGTAAAAAAAGGGGGGTATTGTGTGCAAGGTATTTGGTTTATTTCAGTAAAAGTTTATATTCCAATTTTATATACATACCTGATAATTTGCTTCTGTTTCAACTAAAGAAAAGAGCAATAAGCCCACCGTTGCCAACATCAAACCTGCTAATAACTTAGATATTCGATTAGGCTTTTTCCATTTTTTCAGTTTGAAACAACGATAAGCATATGCCCCCATCTAAAAATTTGTAAGTAACAAACAATATTGCAATAAACAGTTGTCTTGTGCTACTTACTGGAATCATAATGCCCATTCCTAGAGGTACCAGTATACTCGTTAGGCTTGTCTTGTTGGATTCCACTCCAAAAGCTATTATAAGAACTCCAAACATATGGCACAATGATACAAACCGAGTCGGTATTTCAGCCATTGCAACAAGTGTTACCCAAAATGCTAATATACTTGAAAAAAAGTCACTGTATTGTAGAACCTAGAAAGAAATCACGTAATACAGATATTTTGCTTGTAAATTGAAGAAAATTTACAAGACGACTATTGTTAAAATAAAGCCATTTACGTACTTCATATTTAGCAACACAATAAGTCATAACATGTTGATCACAAGCATGGTATAGAGACGAAAAAAGCATAGTGGCCAAATAGACTAATCCTTCTGTATATAATCCGCGCTTAATAGCTACATATATAGCAGGTATGAAAAAACCATTACTTAAAGTGAGCATCATTGTAGTTATAAGAAGAGAAGACTCTGAATTGGCACTAGTAGCGTCAGTGCAGCCCCATCCTCTATATCCTTTATTAATAAAACGTATTAGTATGTTTAAAGAAAAATATAACTGATAACAATTATTTATAAATATTAATCGAACCTTCAAAACATTTGCACGTTGTATAATAAAGAATATCTCTATGGACTTCTTGACAAATGCCATGATGACTGCATGGATAATTTCCGGAAAACACGCATTGCCTAGTTCGTATATCCAATGATACCAAAATCTCTTCCATTTCACAGCTTACAGGTTTACTAGTTTGTTAATATAATTTCTTTATTAATATCTGATTATCATTTCAATATTGCTCAGTGTATCACCTTACCCATTAAAATGACATGATGCATGTAAAGCAATATACCAAGTATCTGGCTGTGGATACGGTATTAACAAACTTGCATCGTGTTTCTCAAATGAAGATAAATTCATTAACATCCTTGGATCTTCGCATACAATATTACCTATAAATCTATCTGGAACGCGTCCACGTCGGATGCAGAGTATAACTTTAACCAACTGCCTTGTTGCAACCTGAACGATATAAACATTAATTATAGTTCATTTAAATGTAAAGAAGGTTTATTCTTATTGTTTCACCTTATCCATTTCCAAATGTACACTTATCTCAAGTGTACCACCAATATCTACCAATGGTAAAATATTGAATTGTGTTACTACTGGATGTATATCAGTTAACATTACCCAAGAAGTTAACCATTCTCTACCCTGCAAAATGTATATATTTCAACAAAGTGTAAAAATATGTGCATTAAACATTAATACCTGTAATAAGTAGACACCAGAAAATGTTTGTGAGTGCTTAATTCTAGCAAGTTGATATCTTGGAACGCACGGATCATCTAAATCTTCATCTGATACACGAAATTCATTTCTCATAAGATCAACACCACCGTATGATTTATTATATCTGATTTCATCATGATGTAAATGTTTTGTTAAATCCTTCATATGCAATTGAGCTAATGCTTTAGAAAATGAAGGTGCATCTAAATACTGTCTTACAAAAGACTTTTCTGTTATTCTAATTGGACATTCTGGAAATAATAATATTTGATAGAAATGGTTCATGAAACCGAAGTTAATGTTGAGAGAATACCGTAGATACATTTACCTGAAGTGACAACTTTTACATTTATTTTAATTATGCTGTCCGAAATAATCATCAAATAATAATAACTATCTTCATAAGGAGAAGATTCTGTAAAGGCATATGAATCTAACATAGTAAAATTTCCAATTTCATTTTGTTCAGAATGATTGAAAACAGGTAAAGAGCGTCCTTGCAACGCCATATTTTTAATGCAAGTTTCGTGGATGCCACGAGAAGTATGCACAGTAAAATTACAACCCCAAATATGTACACGAAAATTCCATGTCCCTGATGGAATATATATTCTAGAAAAAGATTTAGTATGTCAGGAATTGTTAACAGTATTAACATAAATTAAATGCAGTAATCATATTCTTTACTTGTAATAGGAAGTAGTTTCTTTTGTTTTTAATGTATATTGGTAACCAATAGGTATATTTTCAATACTGTTGGTCTGTGTCCATATAGCTACAGAACCTATACTATAATGGCATTTATGACCAAGCCCCTAAAATGTAAAACATTAATTAATGCAGTGTTTTTATTTAAAAAATAATAATAATTTTAGGAATAGGTATGTACCTGCTGTTGAACTTTTTCATCCCAATGAGACAAATATGCCCCAACAAACCAATCTCCAGCTTCTGGTCCATAAACTGGTACAATTGCAGTAGTTTTTGGTTCAAATGTTGTAACTGCAGAAACTACAACTGTATGATTACGCTTGGGATACATATTATTAGGAAATGTATCATTATTTACAGATATCACAGGGTAACTGCCCCATTGTAAATATCTGAAAATTATAATATTACAAATAAATCTTATGTTATAACATCTTGTATTTAAAAGGAAATAATAAAAATGAAATATTTACATATGCACTTTTCTTTGCGGGCAATCTTGCCTATCCATAAATGCTGCAAACTGCCAAGTAGCTCTAAGTACCTCTTTTGGAACCGTATAATGAAACATTGCAATATCCGAATAACTTTTGAATGAATGTAATAATCCTTCTTGGCTTGCTTCCGGCATAGTACATTCCCTGGCTACAAATATATATTTATTGATACAAAAATGATGTTTAAAGAATTCTCATTCAATCTTTATATAATATTAATATCAATATATTATATTCTAATACTTAACTAGTAAAAAAAAAAATAGTATATTATCATCCAACATTACTGCTAAAATATTGATAAAAGGCAATACATAAAAAATTACCTGGAAAGAGAAGCAATATTAAAAAAACGTGTAACTGGAGGATCATAAGATATCGCCTTGCGAAATAACATATTGGAAGCATGATAATTTTTTTTGACATCACAAAAAAATGAAAACTCCTTTTGATCTGATGCCTCCATTCACTTCTCATTAATTGTCTATCATTTTCTACATGTTGTGTTAACTGTACATTTTGCACAGGCAAAAAATAACCGCGACTAGTTCGCAATGTTTGCGTATTTAGCCGAACAGTTTACATATATGGGTTTCCTTCGATCAGCTGTAGTCATGTAGTAGACTGCATATAAATAGGAAAGGGTGGAGTGGATACAAGGGATGGTGATTTTACCGGCAGTTCAATGTAAGTAAGTGGTACCGCGATATTTTAAATAAATATCTCTCAATAGAATATTATTCAACATACACTGTGACATAAATATGTAACACGTTTTATCAACATTTAATATTTAACATTTAATATTCAATAAATGGTCATGATTACTGTACAGTTTGTAGTTATCATTTCAGAAGAAAGCTTTGTATAAAAAGAGGAAACTTATAAACAATCCTTCCTATACCTCTTATATTGTTACAGAAACATAAAAATTATTGGTCAAGTGATCAATTATATTATATTAAAAAATATTTGAAAAATTACACATAGAAGATATCACTGTACAACCCTGAATTCACAGCAAACATACTAAACTTCAATATCCTCTTCTGCAGCTGGCAAAACCACAGTCGTCACTGCTACAGGATTCGTCTTTGATTTCTTACAAAGTAGAATCTCAACTCTCCCTGATATTATATCTTTCAAAAGTGCACGAACGACTAAAGGAATAGGAGTACCACTGGGTAACAGAGGTACATCCATTACTCGTGGTCTCACGTCGGTATTTTCACTTCTGCAAACGATATACAAATCCGTATCAGACAATTCGTCGGATATATTCGTCAACAAGATGCGAATTTGATAATCCGGACCCAATCCTAAAACAGTCGCCTCCATAGTGATTGGACGAGGACCCATATCCTGACCCTCGTTTAAGGATTCAAACGCTTTGTTCGCTACTGTTAATCGCAATCGGAGAAGACCTTGTTGAAAAGTGGAATGAATTTTCTTGGCTTCTGATCTTTCACGAACCGTCTGCTCCATGAACAGTCTCGTCTTTTTTGGTATTAAAAATTTAGACCCATCGTTTAATACCGAGCTAGACATTGTATTATTAACACTGAAATCGGCGGTTCGTTTTAAAATCTTTACGCAAAGACCACCACCTACGGTGACCATCGCCATGGTCCTTTCTTCCTGACCCATACGACCGTACTGTATTAAAAAGCGAATGGAATTAATTCATTTCAGAGATGCTTCTGCAATCTGGTACTTGCAAAAGAGAATAGTCTCACCCTCATCGCAGACACCGGTTCCATAATCTTTAGAGTATCCACATGGTGTTTCCCATCGTACACACGAATACCATACCCAGCAGTACTAACAGCGAGCAAAGAGAGTCCGCTTTGGGGCACTGGTAAGCTCACCGAATCCAAAATAGCACCCGGAACACGGACGCGCCAGAGTTTAATTCCCTACAAAACAAAACAAATTCATCATTCCTTTTATAATAATTTATGTTTTAAAAATTAATATATGATAGCATACCTTTCTGGAGAAGCCAACCAGAGTGCCATCCATAGCAGCAACCACAACCCCATCGTTACTGAGGGTTGAAATGGACACAGCAGGAGCTGATAATTTTTCCCAAAGATTTACAGGACTACCTCTTCTTATCGCACCTATTTTACCATCTCTTCCAACAATTATAATCCTACCATCACCGGTCCATAAACCAGTACAAGCGAAGGTGACTGGTGGCCATTTTAACAAGTGTTTGTCCATCACGCAGAACGTTCTGAAATACGTAAATATGTAAGTATATGTCACAAAGAAATTAATTTAGAAAGAAATTTTTACCGAGGATCCAGGACAAGAACTTCTCCAAATTCCGTGCCCAGCACAAGGCACCCACTGGCTGGATTAGTCCACGAGTCCCGTCGTATCACAGAAATCGCGGTCAAAGCGTTATTCTTTATAAGAGGAATTCTTTTATATTGTTCCACGAAGCTCGGTCTTAAATTTGGATCCATGGATAGAAACTTTAAAGTTCGAGGGGAGATGAATCCTGCTCCAAGCTCTTTCAACAACAAGTCCAACTCGTTGGCTAACGTTAGTATGTTTAATTCCTCATCCAATCCTGCCTTGTGCCATATCTGTGAAGAAAAATTATTTCATATTAATAAATTGATCAATCGTCTGACAAGAAGATTATTATTCGTACTTCTCGTTCTTTTGGATGCACGTCGATGAAAGGTAAAGTGTACTTGAAGTATGGTCTCATATTTTTGAAGATGAACACACTGGAACCAACACCCACACCCAAAACAGATGATCGAGGCTCTCCGTTTTCTGTGTAGAAACCGACTAATCCGCAAGGTGCGTTCACCATGTTGTGCTCCGTTACTTGGTCCCCACCTTTGTAAACTCGTATCTGATGGAAACGACAAAGTTATAATAGATTTGCCAATGGATTGACAATTATGAAAAGTTATTACTTTAGCAGAATTAGCTGCAAGCGTCCCCAAATCGACGCAAACGAGCCTTGCATCCCCATTGCCGGTAACGTCCAGCATATCAACCCCATTTGGCAATGTGTATAATTTGGCTCCTGGTTCCCAAAATGCCTCCAGCCATCGGCTCGTACCGAGACCACTAACGTTGTGTTCGGCTCTAAAAAGTATACGTTAAATTTTTTACGATGAATATATTTTAATCAACCCCCTGTATCTACACGCGTCGACCCTGACACCTTAACACATATAATACAATTAAAAAGTATTCATTTTTTTTTTTTTTACTTACCGTAGCCCATGCATTATTGAATTTTCTTTAAACATTCGATAAAAAATATTACTTTTAATTGAAACACATAAGCACTCGTCTAAACACTCTTCATATACGTTCTATGCACCGTGTTTTAATGCGGTGAAACATAACGTCATATTGTTACTATATTCAACTTTTTCGAGGTATTTTTTGTTGAGAAGTGAACAGCTACGCATTGACAGAATTTTAATCTCTGAATGAAACAACGATCGATCATATCGAAAGATCTGTTTTAAAAATTTGTTGAACGATTCAGTACCGCTGGTTGATTCTTTGTTGTGGACATTTGTATCCATAGTAATGTTCACGTGTACTAAATATCAATGATCGCGGATTGGATTCACTTATCAAGAACAATGTTAAATTACATTGAAATTGAAATATTTTCATAATACGATAATTCTTTTCTCTTTTTTAAACAGAAAGTATAAATATACAACGTTGTTTTATTCTTCATTTTAATAAATAATAATACCGTTTCTTTTTATGACCAGTGCAAACGTTACTCGTAATTATTATTTGAATTATCGTTGTGTTTCGTTTAATTTGAAACTTGGCTTGACCTATTCGAATGTAAACACAGAAATTACCGTTGATAGTTATTCGTGTTAGGATTCAAGCAGAAGCGTTTCTCGATCATTAACACGTTGACTGCCACAATGAAAATGGGCATTTGTTATGAGACGTATTAAAGCTCTAATTATTAAGAATAGGAATAATTAATTTTCAAATTTCAAATGTCAAGCTTTTAATTTGATACTTTACTATAATAATAACAATACTATTGAAGATAATAATTTTTCTATCGTTTTCTTTTAATTATTGAAGTGCGTGTAATTTGCGATGCCGGTCACCGGTGACCCCCATGGCAGTCAACGTGTTAAACTCAGGCAAGTGATTTAAAAGAAAATCTTGACAATCGAAGCATTTGATATTTAAAAAATTTACTCGGATAAACTGCGCTTTCTTGTTTTAATTTTCCTCGAGAATAATGCTAACGTCGACGAAACCGAAAACGAAATATGAACAATCAGTTACGCCGTTGACACATCCGAAGAATCATTTCAAATTACCAAGTCGAAAATTATGGAAAGAGGGAATTAGTAACTCAGCATTGAAAGGCGATCATTGGAAGAAATATAGAGATTCGAGTAAATGGGACTTGGTCGAGTCTCCGCAGTTCGTTGATTTTAGCTCTGCAGCAGACGTAGGAGATTCTTACTTCGGTGAGATTTTCTAATCACATTTTAACAGAATTAATTATATTCCGAAACTCCTACAGTGTATAAAATTACTATAAAATGGACTAATTTCAAAAGAAATAGATCATCGAGATTTTAAGTGTATAAAATTGCTATAAAATGGACTAATTTCAAAAGAAATAGATCATCGAGATTTTAAGTGTATAAAATTGCTATAAAATGGACTAATTTCAAAAGAAATAGATCATCGAGATTTTAAGTGTATAAAATTGCTATAAAATGGACTAATTTCAAAAGAAATAGATCATCGAGATTTTAAGTGTATAAAATTGCTATAAAATGGACTAATTTCAAAAGAAATAGATCATCGAGATTTTAAGTTCACTTTATTATTTTATTAGATAAAGTAACTGTGATTGTCAGCACACCAAACGTAAATCTCCAATACGGAAATCTTCCTAACACGTTCGAAGGCGAAAATTCACTGATTGCGTAAGAATTATTATACTCATCAATATCTTTCAATAAGAAATTTTTTTTATCAATCACAGAAATATGTTTCGTTTGGTTTCAGAAACCTCGATAATTTTCACTTATCCACTATAAAACACGACGTACCCACAGATGAGGTGAAGAACAATGAGAACGACAAGGAAAACAAGGAGGAATATGTGGTTCACAAATCCTCTTTTAAAACGGTATGTCGCATGAATGAATTAGATCAATGAATTGATTTTTAATTATTTGCATGAACGTTTCAGGGAAAGGATGAAAATGAAATATGTAATAAAATAAATAAACCCCAAAAGATAAATGGCTTTACTACTATAAAGCCATTTACTTTTGACATGCGATATAAATATAATCAACAACGTAAACAAGAACGCATTAACAAGGTATGAGAATTATAATTTGAAATAAAACTTTTAAATATTTATTAATCAATTATTTATCTGTAGATGTTAGAAGAAGAGAAAAAGGTGAAGGTATTTCGAGCAAACCCTCTTCCAAAATATTTAAAATCTCGACCTCAAAATAACAACAATAATAATAACAATAATGACATTAAACATGGTAAAGTAAATAGTAATACCGAAGAAAAAGATGAGAAAAAAAGTTCCGCTGTAATGAACATGAAGAAAAATACCGATGTAATATATAAAAGTTACTTGCCACTCTGCATGCCTGTTTTAAATTAAACTACGTTTGAAAGTAATTAATAAATAGATTCCTTTGTTTTTAATATAACTCAGGTCTGCAAGAAATTACTGGGTGTACCGCACATCACCAGAAAGAACTTGGAAAAGCCAAAAATACCACATTTACAAACCGCAATTCGGGCACAACTAAGGAAACGTTTCGATGATACCATAAGAGAGAAGGAAAGACAAAATGAACAGCTTAAACAAATGGTAACAGTTTGTTTTTTTAATATTATAATATTATTAGAATTTGCTACATATTTCTAAAATAAAAAAATAGGAGATTGCTGCTAAAAAGAAGCAAGAGGAAGAAGAACGTTTATATCTAAGAAAACAAACTGTTCATAAACCGCAACCGATTCGCAAATATAAATTGGGCTTGCCAAATGTTGCTAAACGACCATTAACCGACCCTGTGAGCCCGATATCATTAAAACGACGTCGCACAGAGGATCGAGTAAGGCAAAATAATTTCAGAACTGCTTAGAATTTTATTTTATAGATTTGTAAACTTTTATTAATATCAAGCAAAACAACGAAAATAAAAAATGACGTAATTCTTCAAAGCTATATACATCCAACCCTTTCCCACACATGCTGTACTAAAATTATTAATACATATATTATAAAATTATAAGTAATTATAAAATTATTAGTACCGCCCGGCCCCCTCCCAAAGCGTCACCTTGCTCTGACAATCATAGCCTTTTGCGGGTTCCTAGGTTCATGGTCTTCCTAGGAGAATTTACCGAAGTCAGTCAAAATCAACACAAGACCGAAAAATTATTAAAATAACTGTTTGGCAAACTTGCATTTTACAAAGACCGCGATCAATCAGGTATTTTTAAAATTCGATCCTTGTTCCATCTATACAAAAAGTGCTGAAACTACTCGACAACTTACCGATCGATTTTCCGAAACAAGGAAAGATGCGAGCGTCGAGGCTGAACTTCGAATTCCGCGTCGGTAAAACAGTCAAAGTTTCATTGAAACTTACGATTAGGCCACCGACGAGATACTGTATCTCGTCGGTGGCCGAATCAAAACTAAAAGAGGGACTGGTAAAACAGACACGACTGTCATACCGACGGTGCTCCATGTATGCAGACCTTACTTCACCTGGGGGTGCTTGGGATCCCGAAATCATGATCTTTTGAGAACAAAACACGTCCAATCTTTTTGGATTTGTAGTCACTGCTATGAATATATTTATTTCTTCTTCTTATGAAGGATTACTTTTCTTTAATTTAATGAATTTATTGTAAAGATCAAAATGATTGGAATGCGAATGAATGCATTTAACGATACTGGGCTCGGTGAACCGGAGCAAGATGCAAATACGGCACTCATAGAATTAGATAAAGGTATGTTTATATTTTCTAACTTAACCTCCTGTTGATTTATTTGCGGTGTTTAGTAAATATTATTTTAAATTGTAATTAAACACATTCTTTTAGGTTTACGATCGACAAAGATCGGTGAACAGTGTGAAGCCATAGTGAGATTCCCACGATTATTTGAAAAATATCCCTTTCCTATACTCATCAATTCTTCTCTATTAAAATTAGCAGAGGTTTTTCGTACCGGTAGCAATTTTTTACGTGTTTGGGTCCTTAGAGTATGTCAACAAAGTGAAAAGCATTTAGATAAAATTTTAAATGTTGATGAATTTGTTAGACGTATTTACAGTGTGATACATTCCAATGATCCAGTTGCTAGAGCTTTAACATTACGTACATTGGGTAGTGTAGCTGGTATTATACCAGAAAGACAACAGGTAAGGAATTATATGTTAATTATATAGAAATTTAAAAGTAAATGCATTGAATAATTTGTATAGGTTCATCATAGTATAAGAAGATCATTAGATTCTCATGATTCAGTTGAAGTTGAAGCTGCAATATATGCTGCACAAATGTTTGCTGCACAGTCAAAGCTCTTTGCTGTTTCTATGTGTAGCAAAATATCTGATATGATTAGGGGTCAAGCAACACCTGCATCAATGAAGTTACAACTTATCCCTATTTTACAATACATGCATCATGATACTTATACAGCTTCAATGGTATGTATATGTATATTAAAAAAGTTTTTCTTTTGGAACTATTTAATTGTTAGTTTAATTAAATAAATTTTTTAAAGGTAAATAAATTATGTATGGAGCTTCTTGGTAGCTATCCAGCAGTGGAATTTGTTAGAGTAACATTAAGTGCTTTAAGCACACTAGCTTCTGCAACATTAATTGATATTCCACAACAAGTTGTGCTTTTGTTACGTTATTTGCAAGATGATCCAAGATTAACAATAAAACGCCATGCTTTACATTTGTTACATTCTTTAGCTAGGAGAGGGGCTCATTTATGGCCACAAGGTGCTCTTGATAATCTAATAGGTAAATATGTTAGCTATATAATCTTATATCTTCAAAAGAAATATTTAATGAATGCGATATTTCAGAGAGTACTACAACACTTCTACAAGATGGTGCTGGAAATAAAGATCTCCTTATTCGAACGTTAGATGTGATCGAGGTTATCACTTATTTTTAAAGTAATGGCCAGCAATTTTTATATTGTGAAGATTTACGACTAAATCGTTCAAATTATTTAATCTAGGTACTTAGTCAAAGCGCGGTAACATGTGATGCAAACAAGGAAGAAGGAAATTCTCTGTTATCCTTATGTCTAAATGCTTGTTATTCTCCTGACCCTTTTATCGCAGTAAAAGCGATTACTATATTAGCTAGAGTTGCGTGTTACTGGTATGTATCAAATAATTATTTATTGTTGTGGTTTTATTATGAGAGAAATGAGATAAATGATACATACATTTACAGCTATGAAGAAGGTTTACCAGCATATGGGATACAAGATGTTGTGTCTTGTCTTGAATCTTTAATTGTACTACTAGCTTTAGATGATAAATATTTACGTCAATTAAAAGTCTGTTTGCGCTCGACGGTAAAATTGTGTCGAGCACAGCCTAGTCATTGTTCAGTATTTGTCGATGCAATTGGCAGTACACTGTTTAACACAAACATAGAAAGTACTCAAAGTGAGAAACAAGCAGTTGCTTTATGTGAAGCTCTAGGTGCTATTGGAAGCTTAGAAGAAAATACATTGCTCTCGCTTTTACCAGATATATTGGCAAAGCTTAGACAGACTGTACATGTACACTCGAAGGTAGTCATGAACAGAAACCACATATACAATTCAATGGACCTAACGTCTATACAAATTTCTTCTTAAAGGTGATGTTATGTACACTATTATTTCAAATGGTAGCAGGAGGCTATGAATGGAATACAGAATGTTTGGAAGCAGTAGAAGAAGTTATTAAAAATGTTGATGGTTGGGCCAAATATAGAATCGCGCGAAGTGCTGCGAGATACGGTCACCATACAATAGCAACGCAAATATTTAGGAATTTGAAGGAAACAGTAGCGTCTGAACAATTACATTTTTGGATATCTGGTTTGGAACTAGTCACCAAAGCTGAGAGTTGTCTTATGTTTGTATAACTTATTTATAAAAGATATTATTCTTAACGGTAATGCTTCATAAATCAATTTTACTTTGTTTATAGGGATAAAACAGAGGAAGCAGAAAGCAAAGCAAGGGTGCAAACGGTGGAAAAGTTAAATGGAGCTATTGCATGTTACGCGAGCGCGTGTGCATCATTAAAAGCAGCTAGTACCCCTTTGAGAAGCTTACAGTTTGCTAGCGAGTACTCAAAACTTCGTTGTGAATTCCTTCAAGCTATTATACAACTTTTACATTCATGCAGGTATTATATTACATCCAAAAATCATTTATTTTTTACGAATCCCAGAGATTGCATAAGTAAATAAATTTGATTATCCTTTAGATCTCTGTGTACGGCTCCACCACCTGCTATTACAATTACAGTAATTCTTGCGACGAAAGATGATCTCCAACGATATGGACGTGTTACTAATCAAGTATTTTACTTTTTCATAATACTTAGTTGTATTTAGAAATATTCTTAGTATTAAAATAATTTATATTTGTTAGTTGAGAAAATCGGCTCAAGAATTGAGGAACTGTGCGGATAACTATCAGAAGCTTTATCAATCAGCTTTTGACGCCGACCCCGGTTCATTGGCAAACATAAGAGCGTATCCTTTATAAAAACACAATTAATTTCCAAATAAATAAATACAGCATATTGTTCCTTTACTTATCATTCATAGATTGCAGGAAATTTGTCGCTTGTTAGCAAACAGCGTTGAACGAGTTTGTGGGGGAACGGGAATTCGTACATATCATCAAAGCGAGGTTAATTTTGATTTCGGCGATACCGTAGAAATGCGTCAATTAGCACGCTGCTGTACTGAATTACGCCGTCTCGCGCCTACCTATATAGGGGAAAATAAAGCATCGGCCCTCAGTCACTCAAGAATAAACTGTTTAGTGTCACAAGTGATGTTATTAGCGGGATCAAAAATGAGATTACCAATGCCCCGATATTACTTCCAGGCATTACAAGCGACTAGTGTTAAATTATCGGTTTCACCACAGCCACGGGTACTCGGTGAACCAGTATCCGTACCCCAAGGTAGCCAACTAGCGCTAAAAGTCGAAGGAGTACTACGGCACGGCCGGCGCGCGTCTCTATATCGCTCCGTCGCTGCTGTCTGTATTTCTATTTCCACCACTCCTCCTTCAAAAATCAATTCAGATCAAAAGGTAAACACCAATAATTTCTTTCGTGGAATTATTTTTTCTTTACTTAACAAACATTTCACTTACAGGATTCTAATACCAACGAATTACAACAAACCGTCACGCCACACCGTGATTTCTTCGCCTGTGAATTTTTACTTTCATTGGGAAGCCCGGGAACAAATGCAACTGCATGTGCAAGTAACACCACAAATGTAAATAACAATATGAATGCCGGTGGTGGACAGTATCAAGTTACAGCAAGTGCAAGTATACTTGACAAGGATGGTAATGTGTGGAAATGTGGACCACGTTCTACGCTTCAAGTTAGGGTACACGAAGAGCCTGCTAAAAGGAAATTACCATAACAAAGTCTGCCTATAGTTTTTATACTACGTTATTTGTATCCAATCAAATTTTATAGAATAAAAATTTCTCTTCTTTTATTCTCTATGCTTTACTCTTTCGCAATGTTCCATTTATACGTAAAAATAATGATTGTGCATTGTATGCGGAAAATTCATGAATGAAAATCGAACTTTTTTAAATCATACACGCAATCCTACTTGACGGAAAGCAATTTCGCGTGCACGATAGGATATACAACCGCAAAATTTACTATTTGACGGGGGTTAAAGGGTCGAATATACGAGTAACGAGAGTCGATGTACGGGTGGACGCGCCGTGAGAAAGCCCATAAAAGGGAGATTGCGAGGGTGTTCGGCGCACAGTCGCGCACCGTCTGTCCGTTAGTACGGTACGCGGGCACTCCTCGATATTCGTGCTGCATTTGGCCCAAGCATCATCTCGAGAAGAGCAACAGTTATGCCCTCAGATCATCGCGTCATTGGCTGACACGGTCTAATATCAAACTTCGTCACGCGTCTATACGCGGTAAGTAAATATTTTTCTCTTTTCAAATTTAATATTATTTGCGAAAAATCTTCTTCGATTAACTAAATAAATAAAATACGAAACTATGATTATAATTAAACGAATCTTTGCTAGTTTATAAAATATTCTTGAAATTAAAATAATTGCACGAAACAATTATTCGCGACTGGTAAACGCGGCGTGAAGTACCTTATACTGAATTTAAATTAACTTGCAATCTCGCGAGAAATGTAAAACACCACAAAGGAGGGACCGAAATACGATTCTTTACAAGAATTTATATCTCCCAAGTAATTTCTTGCTACCGCTTTTGAACTCGCGAATCATCTACGGAAATGAAGAACTCGTACAACTCGGGCATCGTTTTAATACTCTTAATTGAACCGAAAGAAGCACAAGGGAACTTGCTTTTTCAAGTGATTTCAATGTAAAACTTGGGATAGTTAGAATGCAATTATTTAAATACAAATATTTATGGTAATTTAACGAATGATAATTATATTAAGGGTAATACTTTTTATAGTTTTAGAAGATTATAAAAACGTTACGTTTGGGGAACAAGTGTGTAAATCATTTTTAAGTAAAATAGAACATAAAGAAATGGTTCTTCTAACAGAACTATCGAAATAACGATTCCTCTTCGAATCGAAAATTTCTCTAATTATTTCGTCTCTGGGTAAGGGTTTTAAAATGAACGAAAATTCCATTCCGCGAAAGGTCCTTTCAATTTGTTTCGTCTCGTCGTTGAAGTGTTGTTCGCGGTCGTTATTTTTTCCAATTATCTTCGCACATGTCTCCGGCAATGCTGTTGTTACGCTTTTAGAAAGGGTTGAAGGTCCGCGAAGCATAATGTACAATGAGCGTAGTACGAGTGCTGTGGGTACTAAGCATTGCGGTTTAAGCTGTATGGCGATGTATGCGCTGTGATTCGGGGCTACGCTCGCCGGTACCGAGTAGTTGTGCTAAATGGTTCGCAAACTAATGTTCAAAATTCGGGCAATGTCGCGATGATAGTGTACGTGTGAGAGTTCGGGGTATAGGGATGAAAGAGAATAGAATGGAATAGAATGGAATAGAATGGAAGGGAATAGGGTGCGATGGAGAGGGTAGATGAGGAAGAGGGAAAGCAACGTCTGCGAAGTCTTCCTTAGTTAAAACTTTTCAAGATTGAATTAAATAAAACTGCTACGACGTTTCCGTTATCCTGTTTTACCTCTTTCGATCCTTTTTTTCCCCCCTATCTCACTCTTTCACGCGGCGTTGCAATGAAACGACTTTCGAAATAATTAGTTCAGGAATTCAAGAACCTGTGAAATACAGTAATCGGTATTGGCGGGTACGTATTTTTTGTTTTCTTTTTTTTTAATTGCAAAACGTTTCGTACGGTCAGGTAGGAAAGAGTTTCGCGTGTCCACACAATTGGATAAAATCCTTTTTCTCGAACCTTGTTATGTACCCTGTTGAACGCCTATTGGATTTTATACAGTTGTAACGGGAAATGGAAACAAGGTTCAGTTTATTTCTCTATGCATAGCAAATCTCATTTCCTTCGTTCCTATGTATGTATGTATATGTGTAGGTATATACGCGAAACAGATATCTTATTCCTTTTCGTACGATCAAAATCGAAGATTTCTGAATATTTCTTCGAGAAATCTGACCTCGATTTACATTGTTGTTGGATGTCGGTAATTTATAAATGCAACTGGACCTGGTCGTACGTAAATGCAACGAATGTATTAGATTGTTACATATCAGAAATCGTAGATTTGAAAATGTATAAAGCCCGATTCAATTTGACAGCGTAAAAATTATAGTGAGAAAAAGTGGTATCTAATGAAAAATAAAATACTCCTTTCAAACTTTTTCATAAAAACAAATGATAACAACATAATTTCACAAAAATATTTAATTGCTTCACTAACGAGTTCAAGTGAAACAATACTAAAAGGCTGTTTAAACGAATATCTGATTAAATTTGAAAAGCAACAGAGTTTTTATAAAAGTACACATTACAATAATAATGATAAATGTTTTTTTTTTGTTTCATTAAATTTCAAATGTTTCAATCTATATTGAAATTTCACGAAAACAATAACAAAACCTTTTGTGAATATTTTCCATACGAAACGACTGGTTATTATTTACTATAATTTACAATTGCGTGCTTGTATAATTGTTTCAACCTTCCAGCCCGGTAATTGGTTTTGAATTTAAGCCAATGTATCTTTATGATGCGAGTTGCGAATTATGCTTACTTTGTTAACAATATACCGTATTACTGAGGCTCATTCGAACAAAGGAATACGTCAAGAAGATATATTAGAAAGCAGATGTATATCCGGCAAATGGGATAAGAGGGTTGACTAGCGTTGTATCTCATTTGCATGAGTGAAACAGATATTGAATTGTGGCAGAAAATTGTTGACTATTGAAACAGAAAAGGATTAAAGGAATAAAAAAAAAAAGTGCTTCGAAATCGTTGTAGAAGAGATACAAAGCCCTTTTTTTCTCGTTCCTCTGGAATTGGCTATTCTCCAATTAAAAGGTACTTTAATTTTCATCGAATTTTACGATGTTTGATTCGACGCGATCACGATTCGTCGACGCACGGAAACAAAGTCTCCCAAAGGTTTCGAATCGTATAACGATGCAACGGATAAAGGGAATTTGTAAATGATGAGAAACGGAAATTCGCCGGTTAAAACAAACATTTTCGCGATGATCCTTGATTAATTAACGAACCCTGCCTACCCTTACCCACCTATCCTTTTTTATCGTGGGGGGTGGAAATCGAAAACTTCCCTTATAACAAAGGTCCCTTCTAATTTTCACCATAGTTTCTCTACCCTTTCATTGCACACGTTGCATCGTCGTGACGAGGGATGGTGGTTATATAGAGGAAGTGACGAAAGTGAACGACAGGAATAATGGACAGGTTTGGGTAGAGTGGCTTCCCGTTCGGTAGGGGCATTTGTTCCACCGACAGTAACTCGTGCCCGTAATAAACATGCCGTGCTAGCAGATTGACTGATGATACCGTTCTCCATTAGATGTTATTGCTGAGCTCCTATAACCTTTCAACATCGTCGGTATTCAATATATCCACGGGTAACGGTAATTATTGCAGTGGCGCATCTCGAAAAAAGAAGAAAAAAAAAAAAAATAATAGGCGCCCATGAAAGATTTATTTTTATGAAGCGTTCCTACGAAGAAAGGGATGCAAGAAAAAGAGAAAATAGAAAGCAAAAGGAGAGTTCTGTTACGGAGCTAGCCGGTGGCTGAAGTGACGATAGTTGAACGGAAGTTGTAACGCAAGAGTAACTAGTCGAATTCAATTTCACCGAGAAAGGAGTAGAAAATAGCGAAATTTCGCAGAAATCGTATCGCGTCTGATTAAATAAGAACTACACAGGTAGATATAATTACCTCTTCGTTAACTAACTGGAAATACAATCTTCCAATTAGACTTCTTCGTATTGGGTTGTTGCGTGATCTATGAGAAATACATACAATTTCATTCGAATTCATTTATTTAAAATATAATAATTAATTAAACATTCACTGTGGTGATAAATTTGCGCATTGAAATCGGCCATTTAACATATTCACAATAACCTAATAGAACAGGAAAATCAATAAATTAAAATACATTCCCTTATACTGTGAAAAAAAGATATTTCATTGTTATGTCGTTCATTGTATGAGATTCACCACTGTAACCGAGAAGAATCATTTACCAAACCTTATTTATAACCACAATGAATAATAAATTAATTGTGTATCTGGCTGTCTCGAGATTTTATTTAAACCCAACACACTTTTCAATGATTCGGTGTGGCTCGGCTCGTTCCCTTGAGAGTTGGCATTAAGGGGAAACAGAGAGGGTAGAAAAGAAACGGAGAAAGGGTAGCACGGGAATACCCTCAGGCGAGATCGTCATTATCATAATTTTTTCTCAATGTTGCCTAACGAAGGTGATACTGAATGCGTAGAAGGCATGTGCGTCGGGTATCGGGGCAAACAACGGGCTAGGCCAAACAGGTGGGGTCTTGGTGAACGAAGGGGGTTAAAAGGGGCACCTCGGTGTATCTCTCTCTGTACACAGTCCCAGCCGCGGGGTGCAACTTAATGAGCTTCCTGCGTTGGTTCCGCTTGTAGTGCGCATCACTCCCGTCTCTCGCTTTTTCTATTTTTTTTTTTTTTTTTTTTTTTTTCCACGTTTTCTGCCTCCACGTTCGCAGACGTCGTGTCTGGATCCATTCAAAAATCCGATCGTCGACCAGTCGCTTAGACGCGGATGTTTACGATCGAAGTGGATTGCGCGCCATTGCTGCTTCACAATAGCACTACGAGGTACAAAGAATGGTGCAAAATTGACTGTTAAATAGTAAAAGAATGGCCTGTGACGTTATAGGGGTAGCAAGGTTAAAAAAAGAAGGACCCACCACTTCCCTCGATATTCGAAAGTTGTGCATTATGTAGAGGGTTAGGGGTGAGTTAGGTTGAACGAGACAACTATTTTTGTATAACCTTTCCTAGGAAAAAGGGTGATTTAGGGGAGAGAGGATCTATCATGACACGATGCGTTATTTCAAAAAATGTTTTATTTAATATTCTTTTTATTCAACCCTTGAAACCAAGTTGTGAGCAAATAATCATATCGCGTAATTATTGAATATTAAGACGACTGGTGAAGCCTACCGTGTCTATTACTGTACAGTTGCGTGCGACATAAGCTTCCTTTAATTAAAAGGAAGTATAAAGGAAGAAGTGTTTCATTAACTGCCTTGTTTATCCATGTCTCTTACGTCTGAGGACAAGTGGTTCCAAATTAGGGAACTTCCCTGGGAACTTCCAAATCTAATTCTATCGTATTAGATTAAATCTTTTATAGCGTGTTATATATGTACTATTGTAGATCTATAGAATAGTACAGATTTTCAGTGTAGTGTTAAAATGTAATTGGTGGCGGGATACTCGTCGATACGGATTTTCGG